CTTCTCTCTACACGGGCCTCACTGAGATTTCCCCCTTTTTCCCCCACGCTGTAAAAAATATAAAATATGAAGAAATAAATGCTTCAATACTAGCCCTGGTCTTATCCATCCGTACTCTCCTGTCAATCATCATGTCCTGCAGGTAATGTCTGGGTCTGGTCCCTGTGTTTGCGATTACAGTCGGTTGAATTCCATCCGACCAATCAGAGAGCGCGGGAGGCGGGTGTTGTAGTTAGATGTGAGTGACGTCAAGAGTTTGCGTCGAACGGGCAGGTTGTCGTTTGGTGAAGAATGCGATAGTAAAGTATTCTGGTCTGGTTCTATCAAGAAACTGAAGCTGGAGCAAGAGGAATGTTTAGCAAATGTAATCTCTGGAAAAGATTGTGGCGTTACTCCCCACGGGCTCCGTTAGCGTCAAAGGAGATGGCTAAAGCTAGTCAGTATTCTATAATTGAATACATATTATTTCTGAAACATGTGGTGCTTGTTACTATTCTTGTTTTTCTAGTTTGTTGCTTGTATGTTAAAAACTAATTTAAATAATCCTGCCATATTTTAGAAGCAGGTTTTCTCCTCCTTTAAAGCATTACAGATTGAGATTCTGAAATACAACTTTAATTTTAATACACGTGTGAAAAGCAAGGTTAGGTGTGTTGTGGTATCAATGGTTAAGGTTGACACAGAAGGGTAGGGGGGAGTGCGGGGGAGGCTATAATTCTGTGTAAGCCCTGGGTTAGATACACACACTCCGTGTCGCTCCGGGACCACAGAGAGCTCCGGGACCGCAGCGGGTTCCAGGACCACAGAGAGCTCCGGGATCACAGCGGGCTCCGGGACCACAGAGAGCTCCGGGACCACAGAGAGCTCAGGGACCACATAGAGCTCCGGGACCGCAGCGGGTTCCAGGACCACAGAGAGCTCCGGGATCACAGCGAGCTCCAGGATCACAGCGGGCTCCGGGACCACAGAGAGCTCCGGGACCACAGAGAGCTCCGGGACCACAGAGAGCTCCGGGACCACAGAGAGCTCCGGGACCACAGCGAGCTCCGGGATCAGCGAGCTCCGGGATCACAGAGAGCTCCGGGACCACAAAGAGCTCCGGGATCACAGCGAGCTCCGGGACCACAGCGAGCTCCGGGATCCCAGCGGGCTCCGGGACCACAGCGAGCTCCGGGACCACAGAGAGCTCCGGGATCACAGCGAGCTCCGGGACCACAGAGAGCTCCGGGATCACAGCGGGCTCCGGGATCACAGCGGGCTTCGGGACCACAGAGAGCTCCGGGACCACAGCGAGCTCCGGGACCACAGAGAGCTCCGGGATCACAGCGGGCTCCGGGACCACAGAGAGCTCCGGGATCACAGCGAGCTCCGGGACCACAGAGAGCTCCGGGACCACAGCGAGCTCCGGGACCACAGAGAGCTCCGGGACCACAGCGAGCTCCGGGATCACAGAGAGCTCCAGGACCACAGAGAGCTCCGGGACCACAGCGAGCTCCGGGACCACAGCGGGCTCCAGGATCACAGAGAGCTCCGGGACCACAGAGAGCTCCGGGACCACAGAGAGCTCCGGGACCACAGAGAGCTCCGTGACCACAGCGTGCTCCGGGACCACAGAGAGCTCCGGGACCACAGAGAGCTCCGGGACCACAGCGAGCTCCGTGACCACAGCGAGCTCCGGGACCACAGAGAGCTCCGGGACCACAGAGAGCTCCGGGATCACAGCGAGCTCCAGGATCACAGAGAGCTCCGGGACCACAGAGAGCTCCGGGACCACAGAGAGCTCCGTGACCACAGCGTGCTCCGGGACCACAGAGAGCTCCGGACCAGGGCCGGACCACAGAGAGCTCCGGGATCACAGAGAGCTCCGGGACCACAGCGAGCTCCGTGACCACAGCGAGCTCCGGGACCACAGAGAGCTCCGGGACCACAGAGAGCTCCGGGATCACAGCGAGCTCCAGGATCACAGAGAGCTCCGGGACCACAGAGAGCTCCGGGACCACAGAGAGCTCCGTGACCACAGCGTGCTCCGGGACCACAGAGAGCTCCGGGACCACAGAGAGCTCAGGGACCACAGCGAGCTCCGTGACCACAGCGAGCTCCGGGACCACAGAGAGCTCCGGGACCACAGAGAGCTCCGGGATCACAGCGAGCTCCAGGATCACAGAGAGCTCCGGGACCACAGAGAGCTCCGGGACCACAGAGAGCTCCGTGACCACAGCGTGCTCCGGGACCACAGAGAGCTCCGGGACCACAGAGAGCTCCGGGACCACAGCGAGCTCCGTGACCACAGCGAGCTCCGGACCACAGAGAGCTCCGGGACCACAGAGAGCTCCGGGACCACAGAGAGCTCCGGGACACAGCGAGCTCCAGGATCACAGAGAGCTCCGGGACCACAGAGAGCTCCGGGACCACAGAGAGCTCCGTGACCACAGCGTGCTCCGGGACCACAGAGAGCTCCGGGACCACAGAGAGCTCAGGGACCACAGCGAGCTCCGTGACCACAGCGAGCTCCGTGACCACAGCGAGCTCCGTGACCACAGCGAGCTCCGGGACCACAGCCGGTTCTGCTCCGGTAATAAAGAAAGCGTCATCTTTGTGTCCCGCAACAATTCCCTCTGACTTTGTCTCCGAGTTTTCCGTAAGCAGCAGTCACCTTGAACAGATCTGGGCTTTATGAAGGATGAGCTTATGTTGAGCGCCGCGAATGATTACAGCCAGGAACCCCGGCCCCTCGGCACGTGGCGGCTAGCGGCACGTGGCGGCTAACGGCACACGTGCGCGGTAACAACAGGAGCGGTCATGTGACTCCTGAGAGCAGCGTTCATTTTGACAAGAGATGTTGACAAAGAATGCAAGAACATCCCGCCGCCATTGTTGTTTACGTTTTCCTGCGTCCAAATGTTCGTGAGGGAGATGCTGATGAGAAACAGCCCCCGCCGCAGCGTGAGTAAGTCATGTTTATTATATACACATTTTACAGACCAAGGTCTCTCCACACGGTGATGACTGAAGCGAATCACCGAACACACTGGTCCATCAAAGCCTCCGACCAAACACCCTCCATTCACTCACTACACTCAGACCTATTGTGCATGTTTTTAGTGATAGGAGAAACCGGAGCACCCGGAGGATCTACTTAATCTGACTTTGTGTTATTATGACTGTTTTATTGTTTTTTATGCTGACAGTGCAGCGCTTTGTAACCCATCCATCCATTTTCTTCCGCCGCTTCATCCGTGGCCGGGACGCGGGGGCAGCAGTCTAAGCAGAGACACCCAGACTTCCACTTTGTAACCATTGTTTTTAAAAGTGCTATACACATAAAGATTATTATTATTATTATTATGAGTTTGGAGCTTCATCCAACACCTTTTCAAAAACTAAATTCTGTTGTTTTGTTCTGTAGAATTGTGTTGTGCAGGTTTTGAAACACTCTTTCTCGATTGACTGATAAACAAGAAAGATGAGGGATATTTTGTGCAGAAGAGAAACGGTAAAAACATGAGATAATGTTCAGTAACGATGCAGAAGCTCGATGAGTAGGAACCAGGAAACAACGTCAGATTAAATGAGTCCAAGAGTTTCTGATGGAATCGTTGGTCTGTGCTGTTTCCATTATTCTTATTATTTTAAGCACAAAGCGTCGTCGCAGCATTTCCTGACCAGTGATTAGAAGTTGCTTCACTGGTTTCACTCCTCACTTCTCCCTCCGTACTCAGGAGAGATTCTACCTCGAGATAAGGTGTGAAAATTAAATTAATTTTAATTACATTTTCATCCCAGAGGGGAATCTCAGTGGCCTCTTCAGGTTAATTATTCTTGAGAATTGTGAGTTCTTTCGGAGTCTGACGTGCAGCGGTCACTTCCTGTTCTCTGAAGCATGGGATGGACTTTCACTTTCTGAGGAGAAGGAATATAGTGATATCTGATTTAACGTTATTATCTTGGAAAAACAAAAATAAATATTAGTCCATTAGTTCTGGTCTCAGGTCTCTGCGCTGAGGTTCAGACCATAGACCTAAGTACCTTTGTACCGCTGTTGTTTGATGTGTGGACTTGTCTTGTGCACACTGGGAACTCTTAAAACTGGCCTCCTGCTGGGACTCTGAGGAGCACAGGGACTGGACTCCTGCTGGGACTCTGAGGAGCACAGGGACTGGACTCCTGCTGGGACTCTGAGGAACACAGGGACTGGCCTCCTGCTGGGACTCTGAGGAGCACAGGGACTGGCCTCCTGCTGGGACTCTGAGGAGCACAGGGACTGGACTCCTGCTGGGACTCTGAGGAGCACAGGGACTGGACTCCTGCTGGGACTCTGAGGAGCACAGGGACTGGACTCCTGCTGGGACTCTGAGGAGCACAGGGACTGGCCTCCTGCTGGGACTCTGAGGAGAACAGGGACTGGACTCCTGCTGGGACTCTGAGGAGCACAGGGACTGGCCTCCTGCTGGGACTCTGAGGAGCACAGGGACTGGCCTCCTGCTGGGACTCTGAGGAGCACAGGGACTGGCCTCCTGCTGGGACTCTGAGGAGCACAGGGACTGGACTCCTGCTGGGACTCTGAGGAGCACAGGGACTGGCCTCCTGCTGGGACTCTGAGGAGCACAGGGACTGGGGGAGACAGGGGGGAGAGAGATGTGTGCAGCCGCCGCAGACTCCTTCAGGCCTCAGTGATAATCCAGATTTGCACAAAGCTGCACATGTGTCAGTCTGAAACCTTATCCTCTGCAATCTGTGTCAGTCAAGTCCACACTCGGCTTCTCCTGCTCCCCGGAAAGTGAAAAATGAAGGAGAGATGAGGAAAGGAAGTGTGGGCTCCCGAAAAGTCTTTATCAAATTTGCAGTTAAAGCGATCAGGCTCCAGCTTATCGAGGTCTCGCTGTTTCCTGGATCTTTGAGTTTGTCTTTCTGCTTTTCTACAGTGTTGTGTGTTTACTCCAAAAACATCATAAACAACATCTTATTAGCTCTAGTTTAATATGACAGTTTCCTTTCTGTAAAGTGTGGACTGCAGGGATTGGTTCAGAGGACTCCCGCAGACTTCCTGTAATCCTCAGTCCTGGTCCTGTCCCTCAGCACCAAGTCCTCTGCTGCTGTGTTTGAAGACTTTTAACAACATTAAACAAACTGTTTTTAGCCTGGATTTGAACACAGTCAGAGAAGTCCTCACTCTGGGACCAGCAGGAGCCAGTCCCTGTGCTCCTCAGAGTCCCAGCAGGAGCCAGTCCCTGTGCTCCTCAGAGTACCAGCAGGAGGACAGTCCCTGTGCTCCTCAGTGCAATAAAATCCAACAAAATGACTACATTAAAGCCTTCATCAAATATAATAAAATAAAATAAAAAAACACTTTTGATTAGCCCTCACTAATTAACAGCTAATTAATGTATAATTGATGGTTAATTAACTCTTATTTAATATTTATCCCGTATTAATAAGTGTTGCATCAGCAGTTACAGAACAGTGAGGAGCCAACACATGATACAGGAACAATAACGTTAAATAAAATAACTTTTCTCTCCCCCTCTCTCTCCCCCCCCCCCTCTCTCCCCCCCCTCCCTCTCTCTCCCCTCCCTCCCCTCCTCTCCCTCCCCCCCCCCTCCCTCCCACCTCACCCCTCATCCTCACCCAGAGCTCTTGTTTTGCACCCGTCACTGCTGCAGAGGTAATTGTGTTGTGGGTGCCACTCGCTGACCCCACTGAGCCTCCCTCTCCCTGGACTCTCTCGTGGCCTTGAAGCCTCTCGCCGCTTCCTTGCCTCATCAATAAATCAATCAATCCTTTATTATCTCACACAGATGGAGAAATTCAGTTCAATGAATAAACATCAAGGCCGGCCGCGTACTCTAATTTTCCGCGCTCCTTATGACAGTTATTCAACAGCAGAGAGCAAAACAGACACATATTTCAACAAACATGGGAGAGACACGGTACATGTGGAAAACATGCAGATCTTTTTAATGGGAAGTCCTCACTCTGGCCCGCCTCGTCCAATACAGCGCGTCAGAGGGGAGTGTGGGTGGGGGAGGTGGAGGGGAAGACCACCATAGACTGAAAAGAGAGAGAGGCAGACATGTAGAAGGGGGGGGGGGACTGTAACTGGTGTTCTGGGTTGTGAGTCTGAGTTAGATAGAGTCCAGTGTCGGCCTTGAGTGGTCGGTGTGTGGTGGAATGTGAAGGACAAAGATAGCGCAGGTGCAAACATTGGAGACAAAACAACACATGCCTTGTGGGATATTTGTATAAGCACTTTAGCTGATCAATGAAAGGCAGTGTAAACTAAATCCAATATGTCCAAATTATACTGGAACTGGACCCTCCGTTCACCGTTATCCGGAGTTGACCACGTGAGTACGAGGTTCCACCGTGAGGCCCAAGTCCTTCAATCAATCCTTCCACGCGTTTAAGTCCATCCAAAGATCTCACTCCCAGGTCATTAAGGGAATGTTCGATCCCACTCACCCCCCGTTGTGTCCCCACTGTGCCCTCGACCACGACTCTGACCAACTCGCGGAAACTCTCTTTGTTTTCCGCGGACAGCCGCTCGTAAATCTTCTGAGTGGACAGCCCTCCAACTTTGCGGTAGATCAAGCCAACTCCAAATCCAAGGAACCCTGCTACCATAAATCCAAAAATGTATATATCCTCAATGTCCTCGATGGACAGTCCCGACAGACAAACGGGGTGCCACTTTAGCCAGTTGTCAAAAACGTACCCAGCAGCCGCCGTACCATCCGGGCAAACGGCATCTCCAGAACCGCCTTTATGTGATGAAAAAATAGTATCAATTGTGTTGAGGGACCAGTTGATTAATTCCATCATTTTTCAAGTTGTACACAGGCAGAACTCTAGGAAAAAAGACAGTCAGGGAAAGAGCAGGAGCAGGCAAGAGACACGTCTGACCTCGAGGAGAGCAGGAGGAGGAAAGGTCTGGTCATTTGGTCTGTTTTTTATTTATTTATTTTTCCAATTCACTTCCTAGAACTTGTCTCTGGCAGTAGTGGCAGTATTGATGTTCTGAAAGGTTTGGAGAGGCCTAAATGCTCCGCTGTAGGAACATACAACCTGTAATGGTGCTTTCACACCGGATCATGCTGCGTCGACTTTCATTGCAAAGTCAGAGGTGACTGCATGTGCGTCTCGGAATGCACGCCGCACGGACTGCGCTGCAAAGTCGCAGCAGAGGCGCAGGAGCGGAAAATTGACGCACGCAGGAGATAAATATTTCTGAGCGTTATCTCGGGACACTCGTGCAGCGGCCAATCAGAGAGCCACAAAGTGGTCACTGGGACATTAGTCTGAGCGAGCAGACTGAACATACTGTAAACAACCAAAACAGGAGCTAAACCAGGACTAAACCAGGACTAAACCAGGACTACACCAGGACTAAACCAGGACTAAACCAGGACTACACCAGGACTAAACCAGGGTTGACAATGGAGGACTGTGTGCTTGTTAACATGTGTTTTCATGCTCCCGTGACTTTATGCAACTGCTTTGAGCGTGTTCATCAATGCGAATATACCGGTTAATAAAAAAATAATATATATACAATATATATGGCGCACCTCCGTGAACACATACTGCTGTTATATAAAGTCACCTCCGTGAACACATACTGCTGTTATATAAAGTCACCTCCGTGAACACATACTGCTGTTATATAAAGTCACCGTGAACACATACTACTGTTATATAAAGTCACCTCCGTGAACACATACTGCTGTTATATAAAGTCACCTCCGTGAACACATACTACTGTTATATAAAGTCACCTCCGTGAACACATACTGCTGTTATATAAAGTCACCTCCGTGAACACAAACAGTTGTTATATAAAGTCTGTGAAGGTCTCAGACACAGAGACGCCTCAGAGATGCATTATTGGAGAAGAACACAAATAGCAGATAGCTTAACTCCGTTAGCATCAAAGTCCGCCCGCTATTTTCGCCACTGCAGCCCAGGACTTCTGGTGTGAAGACCCCTGCGTCTGAAAATTAGAGAATGTGCGTCTGGTGTGTGAGGCGTCAGCGTTCCAGCGTCGGCGGTGTGAAAGCACCTTAAGTCATCGCCATCGTCGCTTCAAAGAGGCCGCCGCATGTTTTTGGAACATATAATCTTTTACCCATACGTTTCTGTGGCGATGAGACTGGAATGGCAGTGTACGTGGCTTGCCGTCATGAAGTATCTTGAGTGTGTGTGTTTTGTGTGTGCCTGTGTGTGTTTAGTGTGCGTGTGTGTTTGTGTGTGTGTGTGTTATGTTGGGGGGAGGTCAAAGCTGTAAATCTCACCGTCACTAATGAAGTGTCGTCTCTCTCTGCTGTCAGCGCACACACACCTGATCACATCCGCTTCACACAGATTTAACAACACTGGACCCGACACCAGCGTCTCGCAAACAACAACAAACACAGACCAACGGGAACGGGTTTGAAATGGGATGGACTATGTTCCAACTGCCATCGGACTGAAGACCTGTGCGTCTGAAGGAGCGGATCCCTCTCTCAAGGTGAATCTCCTAGAGGTTTTGGAAATCCTCAATTTTTTCCTACTGGGTTCTTTCCCGATGTAGGAGGGTCAAAGGGCACCGAGGATCTGGGACATGGACCAATGGGAGCATATACAGTTGAAGAAGAGGATAAAGTTTGCTTTTATCCACCTGCGTAGGCCATAGCTAACTATCCACCATGCAGTAAACAATATTCTCAAAGCAATTCCATGTTATTATGAAACCAGAATATAGTCCTATGTCCTTTGTTTCAGCTCTGACCTTGTAGAGGTGTATTCCATGAAGAAAGTGCATGCATGTGCGTCTGTGCAAAGCTGAACAGACAAAGTGCTCCTCTCGGGACCGGCACAAAGCTGCTCTGAAAAGCCAGGACTTACACAGTGCGGCTCCAGCTAAAACACTGCTTCTGTGCTCTCTCTGGGGACTCCGCCGCTCCACAGACCATTCACACACACTCCTCTTTCATTCTGTGAGTCTGGGACTTCTCTCAAGCCCTGTGCAGAGCTGGAGCTTCACTACAGACTGGTTGTGCCTGAGCTGCTGTCGTAGGCTCACAGTTGAAGATGTCGGAAAAAGTTAGCACTCAGAATAATCGGAAATATTTAAAAGTATTTAGGGCAATTTCTACTGGAGGATTTTACCTGTGACTTTACCTTTTACTCTTACAATTTGTTTGCACCCTAACCCTAACCCAAAGCAAGCTCCTTCTTTGTGACTTCCTGTTACTTACAAAGGCAATAACAAGAATTCTGATCCTGATTCTGCACGTTTTAGATAGAAACTGGAGCATCTGGAGGAATCTCATCCAGACCTGGGGAGACACATGCAAACTACACTACACCTACAGCACTACACCGAAAAAACTACACCCACAACACTACACCTACAACATTACACCAACAGCACTACACCTACAACACTACACCTACAACACTACACCAACAACACTACACCTACAACACTACACCAACAACACTACACCAACAACACTACACCTACAACACTACACCAACAACACTACACCAACAACACTACATCTACAACACTACACCAACAACACTACACCTACAACACTACACCTACAGCACTACACCTACAGCACTACACCTACAACACTACACCTACAACACTACACCTACAACACTACACCTACAACACTACACCAACAACACTACACCAACAACACTACATCTACAACACTACACCTACAACACTACACCTACAGCACTACACCTACAACACTACACCAACAACACTACACCTACAACACTACACCTACAACACTACACCTACAGCACTACACCTACAACACTACACCTACAACACTACACCAACAACACTACACCTACAACACTACACCAACAACACTACACCTACAACACTACACCAACAACACTACACCAACAACACTACACCTACAACACTAACACAACAACACTACACACACAACAACACTACACCTACAACACTACACCTACAACACTACACCTACAGCACTACACCTACAGCACTACACCTACAGCACTACACCTACAGCACTACACCTACAACACTACACCTACAACACTACACCGAAAAAACTACACCACAACACTACACCTACAACATTACACCAACAGCACTACACCTACAACACTACACCTACAACACTACACCAACAACACTACACCTACAACACTACACCAACAACACTACACCAACAACACTACACCTACAACACTACACAACAACACTACACCAACAACACTACATCTACAACACTACACAACAACACTACACCTACAACACTACACCTACAGCACTACACCTACAGCACTACACCTACAACACTACACCTACAACACTACACCTACAATACACCTACACACTACAACACTACACCAACAACACAACACCAACACACACACATCTACAACACTACACCTACAACACTACACCTACAGCACTACACCTACAACACTACACCAACAACACTACACCTACAACACTACACCTACAACACTACACCTACAGCACTACACCTACAACACTACACCTACAACACTACACCAACAACACTACACCTACAACACTACACCAACAACACTACACCTACAACACTACACCAACAACACTACACCAACAACACTACACCTACAACACTACACCAACAACACTACACCAACAACACTACACTACAACACTACACCAACAACACTACACCTACAACACTACACCTACAACACTACACCTACAGCACTACCTACAGCACTACACTACAACACTACACCTACAACACTACACCTACAACACTACACCTACAACACTACACCAACAACACTACACCAACAACACTACATCTACAACACTACACCTACAACACTACACCTACAGCACTACACCTACAACACTACACCAACAACACTACACCTACAACACTACACCTACAACACTACACCTACAGCACTACACCTACAACACTACACCTACAACACTACACCAACAACACTACATCTACAACACTACACCTACAACACTACACCTACAACATTACACCAACAGCACTACACCTACAACACTACACCTACAACACTACACCTACAACACTACACCAACAACACTACACCAACAACACTACATCTACAACACTACACCAACAACACTACACCTACAACATTACACCAACAGCACTACACCAACAACACTACACCAACAACACTACACCTACAACACTACACCAACAACACTACACCAACAACACTACACCTACAGCACTACACCAACAACACTACACCAACAACACTACACCAACAACACTACACCTACAACACTACACCTACAACACTACACCAAGAACATTACACCAACAGCACTACACCAACAACACTACACCAACAACACTACACCTGCAACACTACACCTACAACACTACACCAAGAACACTACACCAACAGCACTACACCAACAACACTACACCAACAACACTACACCTACAGCACTACACCAACAACACTACACCTACAACACTACACCAACAACACTACACCAACAACATTACACTTACAGCACTACACCTACAACACTACACCAACAACATTACACCTACAACACTATACCAACAACACTACACCAACAACACTATACCAACAACACTACACCTACAACACTACACCAACAGCACTACACCTACAACACTACACCAACAACACTATACCAACAACACTACACCTACAACACTACACCAACAGCACTACACCTACAACACTATACCAACAACATTACACCTACAACACTATACCAACAACACTACATCTACAACACTATACCAACAACACTACACCTACAACACTACACCAACAACACTACACCTACAAAACTACACCCACAACACTACACCTACAGCACTACACCTACAACACTACACCAACAACACTACACCAACAACACTACACCAACAACACTACACCTTCAGCACTACACCAACAACACTACACCTACAGCACTACACCAACAGCACTACACCAACAACACTACACCTACAACACTACACCTACAACACTACACCTACAACACTACACCAACAACACTACACCAACAACACTACACCTACAACACTACACCTACAACACTACACCAAGAACACTACACCAACAGCACTACACCAACAGCACTACACCAACAACACTACATCTACAACACTACACCAACAACACTACACCTCAGTCCCATCTCAGTCTCATCTCAGTCTCATCTCAGTCTCATCTCAGTCTCATCTCAGTCCCATCTCAGTCTCATCTCAGTCTCATCTCAGTCTCACCTCAGTCTCAGCTCCGGGGGCCCATCTCCAAATGTTGTTTTGTGTGCATTGGGTTCGATTCCACCTCCAGGCCTTTCTGTGTGGAGTTTGCATGTTCTCCCTGTGTCTGCGTGGATTTCCTCTGGGTGCTGCGGTTTCCCCTACCACTAAAAACATGTACAATAGATCTGAATGTATTGAGTGAATGGATGGTGTTTGGTCGGAGGCTTTGATGGTTCAGTGGAGAGAATGAAACAATACCTGAACATAGTAAAGCGCTTTAGGTGTCCTTGGTGTCCTCTATCATCATGGGGCGACAGTGGCTCAGTTGGTAGAGCATTGGCCTTATAGCCTGAAGGTCGTGGGTTTGAGCCCACCACAAGACCTACTTCACGACTCCCACTGATGACTGCTGTCGTTGTGTCCTTGGGCAAGACACTTAACCCTACTTTGCCTGAAGCCACCACTGAAAGATCTCAGCTCCTGTGGACTCAGCACCTGCAGGAGGATCAGTGAGGGGCTGCTCTGTGGACTGGGTGTAGCTCTGACTGCCACCCCCCGACCCAGAAATGGATTAAGGGGAAGAAAATGGATGGATGGATGGCTCAATCATTAATATTGTTTGGACCATGTCTGGACACTGTGCAGCTCTGAGGAATAGTATGCTGTTTTGAAGAATTGACCTCTGAACAGGGCGTCCATCCCTCTCTTCCTCCCCCTCTCCCTCCCCCTGGTCCTCCCTCTCCTCCTGGTCCTCCGTCTCTCCCTGGTCACCCTGGTCATCAGCTCATGTGATGCCTGGCTGAATGTCACTGAGCGCCCCCCTGAACTACAGACACCTGCAGCCGCCACATTATTCCAAGGCCTGTCTGTCATTTACCTGGCCACTTCAAAAGCCAATGCATAGTCAACAACCTTTGGGAGATGGGGTCAAACACATAGACTATTCTTTTTATTACCATAAATGTCAGCAGCTCTCTTCATCCTCACACACTTTTATTACTCCTGAAATGTCATATGTATTTGCAACAGTCTGAGGCGTCTGTGGGGAGCACCACCCAACAAGACACAACCTATGTTTAAAGCATCGTGATCGTGTAATGTGGAGTTCAAAGGCGGACGCTGCGTTTGGAAAGAGCTGTGTGTGTGTGTGTGTGTGTGTGTACGTTACCATAGACTGCATTATTCATTCCATACTCACAGTCATGGAGAAGACTGACGATAATAACCTGAAAACCACCAATCTCTGTCTCTCACTCACAGAAAAAACAGATTTTAACTTCTCCTATGGGATCAATAAAGTGTTTACCTATCTACGTCTGTCTGTCTGTCTCTCTCTCTGTCTGTCTGTCTCTCTCTCTGTCTCTCTCTCTATATCTCTGTCTGTCTCTATCTATCTCTGTCTCTGTCTTTCTGTCTGTCTGTCTGTCTCTCTCTCTCTATATATATCTCTGTCTCTCTCTCTGTCTGTCTGTCTGTCTCTCTCTCTCTGTCTCTCTCTCTCTCTGTCTCTCTCTCTGTCTGTCTCTATCTATCTCTGTCTCTGTCTTTCTGTCTGTCTGTCTCTCTCGCTCTGTCTCTCTCTCTCTGTCTCTCTCTCTATATCTCTGTCTGTCTCTCTCTCTCTGTCTCTGTCTCTCTCTCTATATCTCTGTCTCTCTCTCTCTGTCTGTCTGTCTCACGCTCTGTCTGTCTCTCTCTATCTCTCTCTCTGTCTCTCTCTATCTCTGTCTTTCTGTCTGTCTGTCACCTCTCTCTCTCTCTCTCTCTCTCTCTCTCTCTCTATAGTCACATGGTACCATTGTTGGGAGATACCAAAGTAATGTAAATACTGTAATGTGGTAATGTGAGGCATAAACCAGGGTCATTTTAGTGTAACACATTACTTTGAAAAAACAGTAACAAGTAACACATAATATATGACAAGTAACTCGCCCACACCGCTCCCCTGAGCCTCTTTTTAGTACTAACCAAGCTTTGTCGTGCTTTGCTTGAGTAACTGTTGAGATCAGATTCATTAGAAAGTATGGACACACAATCAACACACACAAATAATAAACATGTCACATTTGGCACAGATAGAATCACTGTGTGCAAAAGACAGTAAGTGTGCAACATGTTAAAAATATAGTCTCTTTTGTGCAAGATATATTATGTACCAATAAAAAGCACAAAAGCAAATTATGAGCATTACATGGAGAATTGAAAAGTATCCGAGTTGGGAAACCATCGTGGACAGTGGGAGCCGAGCACGAAAATACTTAATCCTCTTAATATTTTTTGTGTTCAACAGTCACAGAGTGTGTTCTCACGCGGGAGTCGTCTGAAAAGTATTTTTCATCAGTGGAACAGCGCCTCACAAAAGCACATTAGCACAAGACTTTGGCCTGGAGGAATGTGGTCTGCTGTGGAGGATCCGGGCTCCCGTTTTTCCCCGCCGCCTCGCTCTCATCCAGCGCCGCACGCATAATCAGCCCTCCAAAAATGCATAAATTGAATTTGTTTCCTGACACTTGACAGTCGGGCACGCTGTCAACACGAGATGCTCATATGTGGAGCGTGTCGGAGCAGAGGGCCATTAGTGCTGACTGCTGCTGATGCTGCAGTGCATGCTGGGAGGAGGGCGTCGTGGCAGGAGAGGACCTCACGGAGCACAGGTCACAGGGAGCTGCAGGTTCTGTAATGATGTCTCTCCACATTCTGCACTGAGCCTGGTGCGTGTGGTGCCGTGGACAACACAGTTAGATTTTTATTGGTCGTCTGAGGGTTAGGTTCAGGATTTATTTTGAATTATATCTATTTTTAGTGCAAGGCAAGTTTATTTGTATTGCACAGTTCATACACAACGCAACTCAAAGTGCTGCACAATTCAGGATAGAACCAAACACACAAGGATTTAAATAATCTTTGTGTACATTAAAATGAGTGAAGAAGTCCTCCTCATGTTTAGTCCTGACTCTGGGACCAGCAGGAGTCCAGTCCCTGTGCTCCTCAGAGTCCCAGCAGGAGGCCAGTCCCTGTGCTCCTCAGAGTCCCAGCAGGAGGCCAGTCCCTGTGCTCCTCAGAGTCCCAGCAGGAGGCCAGTCCCTGTGCTCCTCAGAGTCCCAGCAGGAGGCCAGTCCCTGTGCTCCTCAGAGTCCCAGCAGGAGGACAGTCCCTGTGCTCCTCAGTCCCAGCAGGAGGCCAGTCCCTGTGCTCCTCAGAGTCCCAGCAGGAGGACAGTCCCTGTGCTCCTCAGAGTCCCAGCAGAAGGACAGTCCCTGTGCTCCTCAGAGTCCCAGCAGGAGGCCAGTCCCTGTGCTCCTCAGAGTCCCAGCAGGAGGCCAGTCCCTGTGCTCCTCAGAGTCCCAGCAGGAAGCCAGAATATCAGAGTATGGTACAGTAACTTGAGCACCATCCTCTTCCTCATTTATCTCTCTTCATCATACCTTCGGCTGTAGTCTGTTTATTGCTATTCACCCCGTTGCCTGTTTCAGGGCCTGATGCTGGGACCACTGAATCCCAATCACTTGTTCTTACTTTTAGAGGAAGCCTAATAACATATTCATCTTTTAAACATACTCCCAGATGAAAGAAGAGCGCTGTTTTCACTGTGGCCAAAGTGACATTGACGTTGAGCATTTGCAAAGACAGAATAATTGCAAAAACCTTTTACACAACAGTTAAAAGTGCGTCTCGTGGCTGTCCCAGTAAATACAGTCACTTCAACAATAGCACAGATGAAAACACAAAAGGTGACCTACATGCAAACACACGCACGGTTTATTTATAATGGCGTTGTTAATGTTTGCGGTCACACCCTTTCTTTGAGATATGTACATACTTTTGTCCTACATGTGCATCTGTAGCTAGCTTAAAAAGGGGGTTAGCGGAGAGGAGAAGAACAGCGTTTCATCGGGGAAAACAAACGAGCACAATGGTACAATTAGATTTTTGCTTAGCACCACTGCACACGCATCACACGTTATCAGACCATGTGCAAAATTAAGGTCACGCTTAATTAGCTCAGAGGGCCCAGGCTTGTGTTATAAGTTTATTTTTAACTTGTTTACAGGTGCGGCTTGTTGTATTGATACAGACTGTATTCTTGTGTTTCATTAAACTGGCCTGTAGGGGGCGCATGAGCAGAGGTGGGACAGTGTTGCTCCCATTGAAAACCATGTAAAGTCTGTTTTGGAGTCAAAGGCTCTCCTCCTGTGCGCTGTACGGTCGTTGGAACAGTCTTAATCGGGGACACTCAATTCTAAGGCAGCACTAACAAATATTTCTCAAAAGATTCTTGATTTCGGGCATTTTTTTGGAACAAAAAACAGAAGAAATTCCTGCGTTTCATTGGGGTGGCCTGCAGGGGGCGCTTATCTGGGAAAGCCTTGATCCACCTCGCCCGCCTCATTCCAGTGATTTTTTTCAAAGTGTCCTCCTTTATATGAGACCACAGTTGGAACATGAACAAACTCTGGTCTCTCTCTCTATTTGTGCGGTTGCTACAAACGTACACCGCACAAAAAGATGGCATTTTGACAGCGCTTCTTCTTCTACTATATCTCCGTGTATAAACCACTTCTTCTACTATATCTCCGTGTATAAACCACTTCTTCTACTATATCTCCGTGTATAAACCACTTCTTCTTCTACTATATCTCCGTGTATAAACCACTTCTTCTTCTACTATATCTCCGTGTATAAACCACTTCTTCTACTATATCTCCGTGTATAAACCACTTCTTCTTCTACTATATCTCCGTGTATAAACCACTTCTTCTACTATATCTCCGTGTATAAACCCGGCAGACTGCACCTCCAGGTCCTACCTTTGTTATTCACCACTGCCCTGACGTCAGATGAAACCCAAGAATATAAATGGACAAAGCTAACCAGCCAACTCAATGACCCCCAATAGAGATTTGCTATGAACATTTTTTTAAACATTACATTAGATTAAAAAGCCAGATCCTGTCTGATGTCTGAAGCTAAGCAGGGTTGGGCCTGGTTAGTACTGTGATGGGAGACCTCTCTGAACACCAGGTGCCACAGTGGGGCGGTTGCCGGTGTAAAGTGACGCTGTGTCAAGACACACACACTTTCCTAGAATAGACTTGTGTGTGTGTGAGGGGTTGGTGGTGCCGATGCTTCCGTCAGCGTCTATCTGTCTAACTATGTTTTCTTCTGTCTGTCTGTCTAGCTTTATCTATCTATCTATATCTGTCCATCTAAATGAACCAAACAAAACTGGATTATCACACATGAAGAGTCAGAATCAGAGTAAGGTGATCGAGATTTTCTTCCAATTGTTTGAAGCCGCTGCCAGTTCCCGTTTGATTCATTCAATATGAAATAGTTTCGCAGAGTGGTTTGCAGTCTTTCTAAATGTGCCAAGGCAGTTACTCCACTATATCCTCGCTCGTTTAATCAGCTTCTTCCTCCTCTGTGCGGCTGCTATATTTTATGAATAGTGTTAATGCATTTGCTCTGTATCTTACTGAATGTGAGAAGTTGGAGGTGACGTAATCGAATGGAAACCTGGGCCCCAAACCGTTCCTTCTCCCACGGGCCAGCGAGCGATTTCCCCTCTCTGCAGATAGAAACATCTCCTGGACTCCTGGGATGCACATCTGAAATTCATCCATCACTTTCTCTCTCAGGTGGATATAAATACCGGAGTGAGGAGCCGCTTTGTCCCAGAGTACAAGGCTGGGAATGGATTGGGAGCGCTTCAGAAGGTGGCAAAGTGCTCGCAGTCAAAAGTGCTGTACTCAGCCCTATATCTCCCCAAATAAAAGCAATCAGTGAAATATTAAGGCTGGGATCCACAGGTACAACCGGAGCGTGGCACCTGCTCCTGGAGAACTGCGGAGGACACGTTTACTACTGTCACTGAAACAGATTTGTAAGAGGAGCGTTTTGGTTTAAGGGGAATGCTGGAGTGTGCAGGATTACAACACACCTCCGGTATTAAGGCTTAGAAGGGGGCGGCAGTAGCTCAGTTGGTAGAGCGTTGGCCTTTGAGCCAGAAGGTCGTGGGTTCAAGCCCCGCTCAAGACTTTCACCATCGACTCCCGCTGACTACTGTCGTTGTGTCCTTAGGCAAGACACTTCACCCCCATTGCCTAGAATGAGTCTGGTGTGTGTGTGAATGGTTGGTGGTGGTGGGAGGGGCCAATGGCACAGACTGGTTGCCTCGCTTCTGTCAGTGTGCCCCAGGGCAGCTGTGGCTACAGTAGTAGTTTATCACCACCGTGTTTGGAGAGAATGAATAATGATGTGAAGCAACTTTGAGTGTCCAGAAAAGGGCTATATAAAACCGATGCATTATTATTTTTATTAGAAGGTTCTTTTAATGAGACAAAAGAGCAAAGAAAGATGGAACTCCGCCTAACCCGGGGAATGTGGTCAGTCAGTCGGATCTGTACTTTACTTTTTTGTCTTCTTTAAAAAAAGTCAGTAAGTAATAGTATTATTTTAAGAGTGGACTAACCCATTGTGTTAGCCTTGAAGAAGAAGAAGGTGATTTGAACATAAGCTAGCTGGAGCCCATTTCCTTATATGGGCATTTGTTCCGGCGGCATTAGCTTTGCGCCATAACAGGGGCAGATGCGTTGCTAACATGGTTGCTAAGGCAAGCTGATGGTACAACCAAACACATGCTTATCCAGTCCTTCCATGAGTCTGAGTCTGAAACGGATCCACTGGGCATGGTCCAAACAAACAATGCGTCTTCGCTTTATTAGTTAATCCAATAACCAATCAGAGCGCGATAAACACACTCCTCATTTTAGTGTAATTTTACCTGGGATTTAGACATATTCGTCGATATGGAGCCGAGTGTGTATTCTAGAAGCCGGCCCGAATCTCAGTCAGGCCCCGTTCAGAAACTACAAAAATCAGAGCTCTCGTTGCTGCTTACGTTAATGCCTAAGCTATAGCAACCATAATTTAAGTTAATTAAATTAGAATAATTAATAGGGGGTGGGAGTTTAAAAGTCTTAACTTCTTCCCACTCCTTTTCGAGCTGACTTTTTGTTATTTATAATTTATTGTTTATTTGTTTTGTATTGTCTTTTTGTTTTGTTTCTTTTCTATTCAGCTGTTTTGCTGTTGTTCCTTGTTCTTGTCTGACATGGCTCGAAATAAAGTATTCATTCATTCATTCATTCATACGTTGCCATTGCTCATCAGTCCCTCACCGTAAACCCCTCCCTGTCAATTTGACTGGTTTGGTCTGATTCTGTTTGGACATAAGACAGAGTGTAGATACATGTGTGTGATGTGTTGCAGCCATGTAAACAACACACATATGAACAGATAGATCATGTTATTAGCGACTCAGGGTAGAGAGGAAGAGGCCCATAGGCAGAGACTGACTCCATGCCATTCCCTGATTGAGTCGTTATAATGAAGTCGGCGTTAATCTGTTTTATTTTTTGTGCCGCCTAAAGCAAAGAGGCTCTTCCTGAATGCACTGCTCTGTAATCTGAGGTCTTCATCTTGGTGCTTTCCTCCTCTGCGGCGATGGAAGCAGCTCCTGTGATGTACCGTAGCTCTGCAGGCAAATCTAGGGCAAGCTTTGGATGTGAGTGAGGCATGACTGTGAAAACATTAATTACGGTTTATAAAAGCAGTGTATCTCCGGGTGGCGTCTAAAATTAAACACAGAATTATTGGTATTATCTTGTGCTTCCCTTTGGCTCAGGAGGCCGCCACTGTACACAGCTCCTTATACAGTATGAAGTGCCGGAGAGCTTCACAATGATACAGCTGTCGTCCTGTTTCACATTTATGACTTTAGAGATTTCAATTATTTCTGCCACTTTCATGTGAAGAAGGATACACAAGTTTGTATTTAACTATTTAACCCATGTGAAGTAGCCCACATTATGCCTTAAATGTTGATCACGGTCGTGTCTGCAGGGCTCCAGGATCATCTTTTAAAAGAATTTCAATGTGACCATACCGGCAGATGAAAGCCAGATCCTGTCAGATGCTAGAAGCTAAGCAGGGCAGGCCTTGTTAGTACTGTGATGGGAGACCTCTGAGAACAGCAGGTGCCACAGTGGGGCAGCTGCAGTTGTAAAGTGCACACTCAAGTGCATCATTCATGAGATCACTGGGTATTTACAGGGTCAAATGTAGAACAAAATATTAAAACATTCACATATAAAGATTGCATGTGCCTTAGTTTGGTTCAATAAGTTGATGGAAGAAATGACCCCAGTCTGTGTCACAAAGTCTCAAATCAGACAAAAGGAACATTCTTGTCCTGTATCTGATGTGCGCAGTGGAAGTGGGAGAAAGCATGTTATGGCAAAAAAGGAATGGACTAAACATTGATAATCCTGTAAGTTAGTAGTTTCATTCCAAGGCCCAACACAGAGTCCCAGCAGGAGGCCAGTCCCTGTGCTCCTCAGAGTCCCAGCAGGAGACCAGTCCCTGTGCTCCTCAGAGTCCCAGCAGGAGGCCAGTCCCTGTGCTCCTCAGAGTCCCAGCAGGAGACCAGTCCCTGTGCTCCTCAGAGTCCCAGCAGGAGGCGAGTCCCTGTGCTCCTCAGAGTCCCAGCAGGAGTCCAGTCCCTGTGCTCCTCAGAGTCCCAGCAGGAGGCCAGTCCCTGTGCTCCTCATAGTTGGTTCACATGGCTCTAACATGTAACTTTTGACCTTTGGTACGAGGTAGAGAGACTTCTGACGGCTGCCGCTGCGAAACAGCCACAGGTAAAGCAAAAGAAAATGGACGCCTGGATGACAGGTTCATTCCACAATCTATTAACAGAACCAGGAGCTGTAAAACAGCTCAGGGCAGTGGTGCGCGTGGCTCGCCTAAAGAAAGTATAATGACCTTGTTAAAGATGAGAATATCTACTTTAAGGATGTGTCTAAAAGATATGATCATCTGTAAAGATGAAGCTTCAGCACAAACTCAGAATGGAAGACCTCCCTCTACACTGACCCCTCCCTCTACACTGGCTCCTCCCCCTCTGCACTGACTCCTCCCTCTACACTGACCCCTCCCTCTACACTGGCTCCTCCCCCTCTACACTGACCCCTCCCTCTATACTGGCTCCTCCCCCTCTGCACTGACTCCTCCCTCTACACTGGCTCCTCCCCCTCTACACTGGCTCCTCCCTCTACACTGGCTCCTCCCTCTACACTGGCTCCTCCCTCTACATTGGCTCCTCCCCCTCTACACTGACTCCTCCCTCTACACTGACTCCTCCCTCTACAGTGACTCCTTCCTCTACACTGACTCCTCCCCCTCTACATTGACTCCTCCCTCTACACTGACTCCTCCCCCTCTACATTGACTCCTCCCTCTACACTGGCTCCTCCCCCTCTACACTGACTCCTCCCCCTCTACATTGACTCCTTCCTCTACACTGACTCCTCCCCCTCTACACTGACTCCTCCCTTCTACACTGACTCCTCCCCCTCTGAACTCTACTCCTCCCCCCTCCCCCTCTACACTGACTCCTCCCCCTCTACACTGACTCCTCCCCCTCTACACTGACTCCTCCCCGTCTACACACCTGTACCTGCACTCCACAGCTTCAGTACCTGTGTCATCATCACTTCATGGTTGTGTTTAATCAGAGCCTCTCAGCTCTCTGCAGCTCAAGCTGCTGTTCAAGCAGCAACCCTCCTCCTCCCCATCACCGCCTCTTCAGTGCAGGACCATGTCGTGTCTTCGGTTCAGCTTCTTCTCCTCCAGGTTCTCGGCCCCGGGGGGTCACAAACTCATCATTTCTAATAAACTTCCTTCTGCGTCATGCAGTTTTCCCGCCGAGGGACGGGACAAAGCAAAATGATCGTGTTTTAAAAAGATATAAGAAATAAATGAAATGAGAAAATAAATATATATCTATTTATCTCTAATATTTGATGTTTACCTGAAAGAATGCGGAAAAACGTATTACTTTACGTAACGTAAAGTATTTGGAGATTCTACCCATTCAGCACAAACTGTAAAACAAAACCACAGCTTGTTGTTGACAGGGAGCCCTCACCTGCTCCACTCCCCACAGCGGGCCACATACAGGATACCACCGGGCGCCTGGAGTGGCCTGGAGCGGCCTGGAGCGGCATGGAGCGGTCGGGCCTGGCTCTCCGCAGTGTTGTGCTGTTGCTGCAGTCGCTGATTGTTGACCACTCGGCTGGAGGCGAGTGTGCAGAGCTCTGGAGGTGCATGAATAATTGAAACCCTCCAAAAACCTCCAGGGACCTGCACCCAGAGAGAGAGAGAGAGAGAGAGGGAGAGAGAGAGAGAGAGGGAGAGAGAGGGAGAGAGAGAGATGGAGAGAGAGAGAGAGAGAGAGAGAGAGAGAGAGGGAGAGAGAGAGAGAGAGAGAGATGGAGAGAGAGATGGAGAGAGAGAGAGAGAGAGAGATGGAGAGAGAGATGGAGAGAGAGAGAGAGAGAGAGAGAGAGAGAGAGATGGAGTGAGAGAGAGTAAGATATGGAGAGAGAGTGAGAGAAAGGGAGATGGAGAGAGAGAGATATGGGGAAAGATGGAGAGAGAGAGAACAGCTCCTGCACCTCTGAGCTAAGCCCCATGTCTGTAAACAAAGAGAGGTTTACTCCAGAGTCTAAACGTGAAACAGGAAAAGTCTTTAGTGGCTCTTTAGTATTTAGAGTGTGTCGGAGAGTAGCTGCGCCGCTCCTCCTGCTGCTCCTCCTGCTGCTCCTCCTGCTGCTCCTCCTGCTGCTCCTCCTGCAGCTCCTCCTGCTGCTCCTCCTGCTGCTCCTCCTGCTGCTCCTCCTGCTGCTCCTCCTGCCGCTCCTCCTGCTGTTCCTCCTGCTCCTCCTGCTGCTCCTCCTGCTGCTCCTCCTGCTGCTCCTCCCGCCGTTCCTCCTGCTGCTCCTCCTGCTGCTCCTCCTGCCGCTCCTCCTGCTGCTCCTCCTGCCGCTCCTCCTGCTGTTCCTCCTGCTGTTCCTCCTGCCGTTATGCAGCTGAAGCGGAGGTTCAGGATGGTAGACTACCTACGTTATCACACCAGGCTTGACCACGCCTTACTCAGCCTGTCTTAATCAACTCCCCGCAGCCGTGTCAATCAAGCCAGCGTTTAAGAGCAAAGCAGAGCACAGCTCACCAAACGGACTTCAAGCTGCAATGGGTTGTTCTTCGTCACTTTGTTTACTCACGCCTCGCACATTGTTCGTCCTGCATGGCCGCGGCTCCTCTTCCACATCACATGTTGGGGGCTGTGCGCCATGGTCGCTGTGTCTCCACCGCGGGTCCTCTCCTGCAGACTCGCTGCCACTCGTCTCCCCGTGGCCGCTGCTGCGCGCGGCCAGGCGTTACTCCGCGCACCCTGCCGCTTCCATACCGGGAACGGGACTTTGTCTGCCTGCCGCTGTCCACCCTTCTCCCTGCCTCCACTCACGGTACAGTGTCGGTTTCGTTGTTTTCCGCACTACCATGAACTGTACTGAACTGCGGCGTGTCAGTTAATCCCGCCGAATTGGCTCGCAGGCTGTGTTTTTACCCGATGCATTGCTCTTTAGGCTGTTCGTTTTACCATCTGTATTGGCATTTAGACCGTCCGTTTTCACCATGGACCGCACATTTTAACCACTGTGTTGGCCTTCTGGCTGTCCGTTTTACTATGGACCCACTGCATTGCTTCCGGGCTGTCCGTGTCTGATGAGCTGCTCTGATTGGTCGGAGCGCGGCCGAGCCCCTCTGTGCTGTTCGTATTGCCCATTGCTTTGGCCTTACGCCACACTTCAACGCCACACTTCAACGCGTGCGTCGGTGGCCGCACGCTTCGACGACGCCACGTCGGTGGCCGCACGCTTCAACGACGCTTCGACGACTCCTCCACGCTTCGACGACTCCTCCACGCTTCGACGACTCCTCCACGCTTCGACGACTCCACGCTTCGACTCCTCCTCCACGCTTCGACTCCTCCTCCACGCTTCGACTCCTCCTCCACGCTTCAACTCCTCCTCCACGCGCTTTGACGCCGCACGCCTCGACGCCGCACGCCTCGACGCCTCAACGACGCCGCGCGCTTTGACGCCGCGCGCTTTGACGCCGACGCCGCACGCCTCGACGCCGCACGCCTCAACGACGCCGCACGCCTCAACGACGCCGCACGCCTCAACGACGCCGCACGCCTCAACGACGGCGCACGCCTCAACGACGCCGCACGCCTCAACAACGGCGCACGCCTCAACGACGCCGCACGCCTCAACGACGGCGCACTCTCAACGACGCCGCACGCCTCAGCGACAACGCACGCCTCAACGACGCCGCGCGCTTTGACGCCGCACGCCTCAACGACGCCGCACGCCTCAACGACGCCGCACGCCTCAACGACGCCGCACGCCTCAACGATGCCGCACGCCTCAACGACAACGCACGCTTTGACGCCGACGTACGTTGGCAGCCGCACGCTTCATCGCAGCTCGTCGGCGGCCGCACGCTTCATCGCAGCTCGTCGGCGGCCGCACGCTTCATCGCAGCACGTCGGCGGCCGCACGCTTCATCGCCGTACGTCGGTCGGCGCACGCTTCCACGCCGGTGGCCGCTGTTTGACGCCGCGTCGGTGTCCGCCTCCTGCCGCATTCTCGACGCCACGCTTCGACGCATTCGTGTGCTCTCATCCATTCATCATGGGACCAGTGTCGACCATGGACACGCGTTCCCTATTGGTGGGTGAACAATCCAACGCTTGGAGAGTTCTGCTTCACAAGGACGGGAAGAGCCGGCATCGAAGGATCAGGTCAGTGGTCTGACTCTGACTGAAGACGTGGTCTCACTCTGACTGAAGACGTGGTCTCACTCTGACTGAAGACGTGGTCTCACTCTGACTGAAGACGTGGTCTGACTGAAGACGTGGTCTGACTGAAGACGTGGTCTGACTGAAGACGTGGTCTGACACTGCCCGTTGGTCCTTTTCACTCGAGTGATAGTGGTTTGAGGTTTCTCTTTTCAGCTTTGCAGGAACGTGATGCCGCAACGCCGCACCAAAGCTCTGCTACGACGCCGCGACGGAGGCCTGCTAAGACTACATGAGTACTGTTCGGCGTGGCCTTCAAACCTGGCCGACTATCTTCCCCAGGCCGCACTCATTGGCTTTTGAAGATCCTTAAAGGAGTAAGAAGAAGATCCTTAAAGGAGTATTGGCAATGGTCCTTGTTCTGTAGTTTAGGTCCTGGACGACTAGCCTGTCTGTCCGTGGAGTGGATCCCTCTCTCATGTAGGGTCTTCCGAAGGTTTCTCACTTTTTTCCCCACGGGGTTTTGTGAGTTTTCCTTGCCATGCAGGAGGGTCTGGACAGTTAGTGTCCAACTAGAAGGCCCGTGGTGATGATCCAGGATACTTTACATTCTACAACATGTATGGACATTTTATCAACATTCATAGACTATAATTATTCCTTAAACAATCCCTTGACGACCCCCTGATCTGAACAAATTCAAAACCTGCGCTCCCTGCATGTAACCTCTCTTCCTTTCTCTACATCTGCCACTCCTTCCGGATAGGAGCAGCCACTTGGGCTGCTGCCCTGGGACTCCCTCAATCATCTCTCCAGGAGCTCGGTCCCCGGTTCTCTACCACATTCATCCGTTCTGGCAGCCCAGCGCCTCCTCTCATATAAGTACGTATGCATCTCCTGGTGGTGGCAACTCCTCATTCCATTACGCCGCGCACTCGAGCCGAGCTCGTGCGCGTGCCAACGCCTAGCTCTAGAGCCGAGCTCGTGCACGGACATTACGCCGCGCACTTGAGCCGAGCTTGTGCGCGTGCCAACGCCTAGCGCTAGAGCCGGGCTCGCGCACGGACATTACGCCGCGCACTCGAGCCGAGCTCGTGCGCGTGCCAACGCCTAGCTCTAGAGCCGAGCTCGCGCACGGAAACAGTCACTCACACCATGCGCCTTCCATAAATGCAGCAACCAAGTCGTGGCAAACGCATCGCTAGCCAAGCTCTCTTTTTGGGGATCATGATCTGCACCCAGGCGCATATCTCTTCAGAGCACGGCCACAGCCGGGGCCTAAGCTCCAAACCAATAAACAAACTCAATCCATAAAATAAACAACTCTTAAACGCATCTCGTCTCTTGTAGTCTCTCCAGGTTGAACCTCCTGCTGCACCTCCTGCCGCTCCTCCTGCTGCTCCTCCTGCTGCTCCTCCTGCTGCACCTCCTGCCGTTCCTCCCCCACCACTCGCGGCCAATCTAATTAATGCAAATGTATCTGAAGCTGCCGAGAGTGTAAAAAGTCAGCGCGGCAGATAGCATCGTACTAGCATGGTGATAGCGTGGTGATAGCGCGGTGATAGCATGGTGCTAGCATGGTGATAGCATGGTGATAGCATGGTGATAGCATGGTGCTAGCATGGTGCTAGCATGGTGATAGCATGGTGATAGCATGGTGATAGCATGGTGCTAGCATGGTGATAGCATGGTGATAGCACGGTGCTAGCATGGTGCTAGCATGGTGATAGCATGGTGCTAGCATGGTGGTAGCATGGTACTAGCATGGTGTGGCTTGAGGACATGAGCGTAGGATGTTTTCATGTGGAACGATCGCGCCGCTCTCTGTTAATATTAAAGATAATTTTGTCGGCTTCAAAAACAACAGCACTTTCTCTGCTGCTCTGGGATTTGCTCTTTCCGCAAACTCTACGTGATGCAGTAATTTATGCAAATGTAAAGCACAAAGTTAGAATGATGAGTAATTTTTCTAAAGTCAATAATAATAATAATAAAATACTGGCCTCACACTGTTACAAATAAAATCCCTATCCCTTATGTGATAATATCCAGCAATAACAGCAGACACTCACACACACACATACACACTCCCCGTGTCTGCGTAGGTTTCCTCCAGGTGCTCCGGTTTCCCCTACCACTAAAAACATGTACAATAGTTCAGGGTGATGGGGCGACAGTAGCTCAGTTGGTAGAGCATTGGCCTTCAGGCCTGAAGGTTGTGGGTTCAATTCCCACCTCGACACCTTCTCCACCGACTCCCACTGATGTCTGCTGTCGTTGTGTCCTTGGGCAAGACACTTAACCCCACTTTGCCCAAAGCCCATTGAAAGATCAAGGCTATGCTCACAGTCAGAGAGCAGCCGTCCTCCTGTGGACTCACCACCTGCAGAGGGTCAGTGAGGGGCTGGTGCTATGAGACTTGGGTGGCATCTCTGACTGCCACCCCCCTGACCCAGAAATAATAATAATAATAATAATGCATCGGTTTTATATAGCGCTTTCTTGGACACTCAAAGACGCTTCACATGTGTCATTATTCATTCACTCCATACACGGTGGTGATAAACTACTACTGTAGCCACAGCTGCCCTGGGGCACACTGACAGAAGCGAGGCAACCAGTATGTGCCATCGGCCCCTCTGACCACCACCAACCATTCATACACACACCAGACTCATTCTAGGCAATGGGAGTGAAGTGTCTTGCCTAAGGACACAACGACAGTTTGGCACTTTACAGCCGCAGCCGCCCCACTGTGGCTGGTGTTCCCAGAGGTTAAGTGTCTTGCCAAGGACACAACGACAGTAGTCAGTGGGAGTCGATGGTGAAAGTCTTGAGCGGGGCTTGAACCCACGACCTTCTGGCTCAAAGCCCAACGCTCTACCAACTGAGCTACTGCCGCCCAAATGGATTAAAGGGTAGAAAATGGATGGATGGATGGATAGTTCAGGGTGAATGAGTGTGTGTTTGTGAGTGTGAATGTGGGACAACGGGTGGAAATCAGTCCAACGCTACGGCCCGGAGTGATGTGTTCATGAACGTGTACTGTCCCAACCAAACCAAACAGTAAATAAATAAATACATACATTCGGAGCATAGAACAATGTCTGTAAATGTTGGTAAATGCCATTATGTTGTTGAATGTCCTGGATCCTCATCACTGTCCTTTTAATTAGACCGTACAAGACTCTAAGGCAACGGAAAAAGCCCAGTGGGAAAACCTCGGCCAACATTGAGAGAGGGATCCGCTCCCACGGACAAGTTTTCCAAAGCATTTTTATACCATCCAAGCCTCGGTGATGGATCTCTCAGTTCTGTTGTTTACCCCGAGCCCACAGCACTTTGGAAAAAAAGCACATCACAAACATGGCAACCTGACAGACAGCCCGGAGTGGAGATCGCACACTTCTTTCTCCAATCGATCCCAGGCTAAAAGAGAGAGACGGAACACAACCCCTCTCTGCTGCTCGCCACAGACACCAGCCCAGGTACATTCAATTACACCGTCCTCTGCCTCTAAGTGATGCCATTACAAACCCGCCTCACAACAATTACAGGCAGAGAATGCATTGGGAGAGGCGTCTGAAGTGAAACAGGAGATCTGGGGGTCTCTCTGTAGACCTAAAGGGTTTCCAAAAGCCGGCTGCTCTGAAGGCGAGACCAAGGGGGAAGAGAAAGGTTGCATTTCTTTGCTGCAGTGTTGGACCTGGGAAAGCACTGGCACTTTCTCCATCTCTGACTCCATCCACCGGTCAAAGCACAAATAACAAGCATCATTTTCCATTTCTAAAACGTGTGCTGTTAGTGATGTGTAAACTTTTGGAACGTTTCTTCATTTGAACACATTGTGGCTATTAAGGACAATCAAAAATACGCATTCAAGCATACATTTTCTCTTATTTTAACATTTTTTGCAGTGTATTTTTGTAACACCTGATTCTATCCAGACCAAGCTAGTGCTGAAGTATATAACTGCAGGTGATTGGCCGGAGCACTGCTGGAAACCATGGTTACCAAGGAATGTTTTTAGTTTTTTTTTAATGACATTGATGAGCTTTACTCGTCCCTCGGTGGAAATATCTATTAGTAATGTTTATTTATATAGCGCATTTTAAAGACCAAGGTCACCCAAAGCGCTTTACAATGTTCAGAGTCAGATATTAGTGTCATTGAGAAACAAGAGCACTCTGGATCCTCAAACTCATTATTATTATAATTATTTAATTAAGATAATAGATCATCTCATTCAAGTGTCAATCAGGACAATGCTCCAATCAACAGTAAATTATGAAAACAAATCAAAACCAAATTGTGTTTTGATTTACAGAGAGGGAGAGAGGATTTTCTATTGCCGGGTGAATCATCAAGACTATTGGTCCTCCCAACTGTCAATCATTCTGGTGACATGTGCTCGTCCAATAAGACCAGAGAGTTTGGTTTAAAAAGTGGAGAGGGCGGTTCGTACCTAAAATTTGGGAAAATCCTCCAATAAGAAAAAACAGAAAAAGGAAATAAGGAATTACCCCAGATACTTATTTGTTGTGGGTCGCAAGGATCAGGTTCCAGAAGCGTATTGGACACCATACCAGTAGGGTAGGGTAGGGTAGAGTAGGGCAGAGTGGGGTAGGGTAGGGTAGGGCAGAGTAGGGTAGGGTAGAGTAGAGTAAAGTAGAGTAGAGTAGAGTAGAGTAGAGTAGGGTAGAGTAGAGTAGGGCAGAGTAGGGTAAGGTAGAGTAGAGTACAGTAGAGTAGAGTAGGGTAGAGTAGAGTAGGGCAGAGTAGGGTAAGGTAGAGTAGAGTAGGGTAGAGTAGGGTAGGGTAGGGTAGAGTAGGGTAGAGTAGAGTAGGGTAGGGTAGAGTAGGGTAGAGTAGAGTAGGGTAGGGTAGAGTAGAGTAGAGTAGAGTAGAGTAGTGTAGAGTAGAGTAGAGTAGAGTAGGGTAGGGTAGAGTAGGGTAGAGTAGCGTAGGGTAGGGTAGGGTAGGGTAGGGTAGAGTAGAGTAGAGTAGAGTAGGGTAGGGTAGGGTAGGGTAGGGTAGGGTAGGGTAGGGTAGGGTAGGGTAGGGTAGGGTAGGGTAGGGTAGAGTAGAGTAGGGTAGGGTAGGGTAGGGTAGGGTAGGGTAGGGTAGGGTAGGGTAGAGTAGAGTAGAGTAGAGTAGAGTAGGGTAGGGTAGGGTAGGGTAGGGTAGGGTAGAGTAGAGTAGAGTAGAGTAGAGTAGAGTAGAGTAGGGTAGGGTAGGGTAGGGTAGGGTAGGGTAGGGTAGGGTAGGGTAGGGTAGAGTAGAGTAGAGTAGAGTAGAGTAGAGTATGGCCAAGTTGGGCCGGTGGACACGGCGCTTAGAGCTGAACAAAAACCTATATATTAGAAATGTAGATGAAGACAATTTTTCATCTTGATCTGGTCCAGTTTTGGTTCATTTCAAAGTAACTGAAATAATTTTGTTCTGAAACTAATGTGAATAAAGTTATGTATCAAAATACCTTCATAATGACAAAAATATTTATTAAAAAAGAAAACCCGGTCTTATTTTTTTTATTTGGCCCTCAAACCAAATGAGTTCGACACCCCTGCTCTAGCTCAATAAATTCGAATAGTAAGTAAGTTTTTATTTATATACCGCCTTTTCACTGCAGATCTGAGTCTCAAAGCCGTTTACAATTGTTAATTTTGGGCATTTGTCTCTCACTCCACACAGAGATGGGAGCGGGGCCAGTACAGGAGGCGCATGCCAGAACTATTGGACATATTTTTAGTGGTAGGGGAAACCGGAGTACCCGGAGGAAACCTACGCAGACACGGGGAGAACATGCAAACTCCACTCAGAAAGGCCCTGGTCCGACCGGGATTCGAACCCAGGACCTTCTTGCTGAGAGGCGAGAGTGCTATCCACTCAGCCACCGTGCCGCCACGGCAGATAATAGGGAAGTGCTCATGGATGAAGTTTGGCTCTTAAAGTCCCATGTTGCTCTCCCTCTAACAGCAGGAGGGAGATGAACCCAGAATGAACTCACAGAAACTACTGTCAGCGAGCAATTCTTTTCAGTGTAGTTTATTTCTCTGTGATGTAAATGTTTTAAAGGTGTGTTGGCGCACGGAAGCCCCCCACCTCCGCACCAGCTGCTCACACACACAAACTCATAATTCATGCTCCACATCGCCCCGAGCGGCGTCCGTGAAGCGGTGGAAACAATGGCCTCAGAGACTTCAGGAGCTAACACCCGCTAGCTGCGCTACATTTACTGGGTCATGCTAATATCCAGTCGCAGCGTGTTGTGTCGTGAACCCGCGTGTTAGCGTTATAGGTCAAGTTTAACCGTAGATAAAGGTTTAAAAATACATATGTGTACTTCTTTATTATGCAAAAGTTAGAGATTTTATACTAGCTTCTTTATTATGCTAAAGTTAGAGATTTTATACTAGCTTCTTTATTATGCAAAAGTTAGAGATTTTATACTAGCTTCTTTATTATGCTAAAGTTAGAGATTTTATACTAGCTTCTTTATTATGCTAAAGTTAGAGATTTTATACTAGCTTCTTTATTATGCAAAAGTTAGAGATTTTATACTAGCTTCTTTATTATGCTAAAGTTAGAGATTTTATACTAGCTTCTTTTATTATGCTAAAGTTAGAGATTTTTTTCAAGGTCCTGGTTCTGCACATGTTTTGGTTCAGTTGGGTTTTCTATAAGCCCCGGCGATCCAAGATGGCGCCCTATTCAAATGAATGGTTGTGCTCAGTGGCGCTTTGTGACGGCATGGGGGCTGAAAGATTAGCGGAAGTCGCCTGAAACTCTCAAAGATCTATGGGAAACTCTCAAAGATCTATGGGAAACTCTCAAAGATCTATGGGAAACTCTCAAAGATCTATGGGAAACTCTCAAAGATCTATGGGAAACTCTCAAAGATCTATGGCAAACTCTCAAAGATCTATGGCAAACTCTCAAAGATCTATGGAAAACTCTCAAAGATCTATGGGAAACTCTCAAAGATCTATGGGAAACTCTCAAAGATCTATGGGAAACTCTCAAAGATCTATGGGAAACTCTCAAAGATCTATGGGAAACTCTCAAAGATCTATGGGAAACTCTCAAAGATCTATGGAAAACTCTCAAAGATCTATGGGAAACTCTCAAAGATCTATGGGAAACTCTCAAAGATCTATGGGAAACTCTCAAAGATCTATGGGAAACTCTCAAAGATCTATGGGAAACTCTCAAAGATCTATGGGAAACTCTCAAAGATCTATGGGAAACTCTCAAAGATCTATGGGAAACTCTCAAAGATCTATGGGAAACTCTCAAAGATCTATGGGAAACTCTCAAAGATCTATGGAAAACTCTCAAAGATCTATGGGAAACTCTCAAAGATCTATGAGAAACTCTCAAAGATCTATGGGAAACTCTCAAAGATCTATGGAAAACTCTCAAAGATCTATGGGAAACTCTCAAAGATCTATGGGAAACTCTCAAAGATCTATGGGAAACTCTCAAAGATCTATGGGAAACTCTCAAAGATCTATGGGAAACTCTCAAAGATCTATGGGAAACTCTCAAAGATCTATGGGAAACTCTCAAAGATCTATGGGAAACTCTCAAAGATCTATGGGAAACTCTCAAAGATCTATGGAAAACTCTCAAAGATCTATGGGAAACTCTCAAGATCTATGGAAAACTCTCAAAGATCTATGGGAAACTCTCAAAGATCTATGGGAAACTCTCAAAGATCTATGGGAAACTCTCAAAGATCTATGGGAAACTCTCAAAGATCTATGGAAAACTCTCAAAGGTCTATGGGAAACTCTCAAAGATCTATGGGAAACTCTCAAAGATCTATGGAAAACTCTCAAAGATCTATGGGAAACTCTCAAAGATCTATGGGAAACTCTCAAAGATCTATGGGAAACTCTCAAAGATCTATGGGAAACTCTCAAAGATCTATGGGAAACTCTCAAAGATCTATGGGAAACTCTCAAAGATCTATGGGAAACTCTCAAAGATCTATGGGAAACTCTCAAAGATCTATGGGAAACTCTCAAAGATCTATGGGAAACTCTCAAAGATCTATGGGAAACTCTCAAAGATCTCTGGGAAACTCGCCTGTATTTGGGCATCGTCTGGTCCTCCCGGTTCTGCGCAGTGGATGATCTCCCATAATGCATTGTGCCAAACACGCGTGTGTGGGTCTCACACCGGGTCTCATGCACGTGCACAGAGGGTCTCACGCACGTGCACAGAGGGGCTCACGCACGTGCACAGAGGGGCTCGGCTCTGACCAATCAGAGCAGTTCATCAGAGCGGGAGTTAGAGCGAGAGCCAGACGAGCAGAGTTTGTGGCACTAAAGTGTGGATTTAAACAAAACCGAAGGATTTAAGAAGAAAAAAAGTTCAGGACGACACGGGACACTAACATCCCCACAAAATCTGATCTTTATAAAAGCTGTAGGTTCTCTGTCAGGTTCTCTGTCAGGATCTCTGTCAGGTTCTCTGTCAGCTGAGGTTGAGCTGTTTTAATATGCATTGAGTTCTTTGGGGAAAATTTCTGGGTAGCCCACGTGACTTTAGTCTGGTTCAGTCTGGTTCAGTCTAGTTCAGTCTGCAGTACCGCGAGAATCCCCTGAGCACGTGAGTTATTCAGCTACAAGCTAGTACTACCCTATCCAGTTAATATAATAGATCCATGGTTTTCTACCAGAGAAGAACACGTGCTGGTTACCATAGCAACTCAGCAGTTAGCATTTAGCCTTTAGCAATAGTATTTCAACAATCTGCTGTATAACTTCTGTTTTTTAAGTTTTAGTCACCAGTTTTACCTTCACTTATTAAAAGTGAGTGAAGGTAAAACACTCATAAATGACTTTTATTAAATCCTGTGACAAACTAAACATTTTTTTTGGGTAAATTTCTCAGAATCCCATTAGCTTGATTACAAGTTCTAGTTTCCTCATCGTAGGTGTTAAAGGTGAAGTGTTAGCTGAAAGCAGTAGCTCTCCACATGTTAGCTGAAGGCAGTAGCTCTCCACATGTTAGCTGAAAGCAGTAGCTCTCCACATGTTAGCTGAAGGCAGTAGCTCTCCACATGTTAGCTGAAGGCAGTAGCTCTCCACATGTTAGCTGAAGGCAGTAGCTCTCCACATGTTAGCTGAAGGCAGTAGCTCTCCACATGTTAGCTGAAGGCAGTAGCTCTCCACATGTTAGCTGAAGGCAGTAGCTCTCCATAGAAATGCACCACTCTGTTAATCCCATAATCCCATAATCTTGTCCTCACTTCTACAGCCACTTATCACGGCTTCTCCCGGGGCGCTCCTCCTCTACTCCTCTTACTTCTTCTCTCTCTGCTCCTCCTCTCTCTCCTCTTCTCCTCCTTTCTCCTCTCTCTCTCCGTCTCCCTCCTCTCTCCTCCTTTCGGTCCCTCCCCCTCTCTCTCTCCTCCTCTCTCCTTCTCCCTCCTCCTCTCTCTCTCCTCCTCTCTCCTCCCTCCTCCTCTCTCCTCTCTCTCCTCTCTCCTCTCTCTCCTCTCTCCTCTCCCTCCTCTCTCTCCTCCTCCTCTCCTCCTCTCTCCTCCCTCCTCCCTCTCCTCTCTCCTCCCTCTCTCCTTCTCCTCTCCTCTCTCTCTCCTCTCTCCTCCTCTCTCCTCTCTCCCTCTCCCTCCTCCTCTCTCCTCTCCTCTCTCCTCTCCTCCTCCGCTCTCCTCCTCCTCCTCTCTCTCTCTCCTCCTCTCTCTCCTCCTCTCCTCCTCCTCTCTCCTCTCTCTCCTCCTCTCTCCTCTCTCCTCCTCTCTCCTCCTCCTCCTCTCTCCTCCTCCTCTCTCTCCTCTCCCTCCTCTCCTCCCTCCTCCTCTCTCTCCCTCCCCTCTCTCCTCCTCCCTCCTCTCCTCTCTCCTCCTCCTCCTCTCTCCTTCACCTCTCTCCTCCTCTCTCTCCTCCTCCTCTCCTTCCTCCCCCTCCTCTCTCCTCTCTCCCTCCTCCCCTCTCTCCCTCCTCCTCTCCTCCTCCCCTCCTCCTCTCTCTCACTCCCCTCTCTCTCCTTCCTCCTCTCTCCCTCCTCTCTCCTCCTCTCCTCCTTCTCCTCCTCCTCTCCTCTCCTCCTCTCTCTCCTCCCTCCTCTCTCCTCTCCTCCCCTCCTCTCTCCTCCTCTCCTCCTTCTCCCTCCTCCTCTCTCCCTCTCTCCTCCTCTCTCCTCTCCTCTCCTCCCCTCCTCCTCCTCTCTCCTCCTCTCTCCTCTCCTCCTCCTCTCCTCCTCCTCTCTCCTCCTCTCTCCTTCTCCCTTCCCTCCTCCTCCCTCTCCCCTCTCTCCTCTTCCTCTCTCTCCTCCTCCTCTCCTCTCTCCTCCCTCTCCTCCTCATCGTCTCTCTCCTCCTCTCTTTCCTATGCCTCCCTTCTCCTCCTCCTCTCTGATCTCTCCTTCCTCCCTCCTACCTCTCTATCTCCTCCTCTCGTCCTTTCTCCCCTCTCGTCCTTTTCATCCTCCGCTCCCGTCCCTTTCTCTCTTCTCTCTCTCCTCCCTCCCCTCCTCCTCTTCTCTCTTACTCTCTCTCGATCCTCCTCCGCTCCTCTCTCCCTACCTCCGTCTCTTCCTTCTCTCCTCCTCCTCACCATCCTCATCCTCGGGTCTCTCTCCTTCCTCTCGTCCTTCTCCCTCCTCCTAACTCTCTCCTCTCCCCTCCTACTCTCTCCGCTCCTCTCTCCCGCCTCCGCCTCCTCAAGTCCTCCCTCCATCCTCTCTCCCCTCGCTGGTGTGACCCACCTTCCGCGCTTGTGGATGTTCTGGATGTTTCATTCGTGATTAAAGTCCAAAACGTCAACGACACCGACCTACAACACCCGCCTCCCCCGCTCTCTGATTGGTCGGAGAGGATTCAACCGAGGAAACTGCAGCCAATAGGATCAGACCCAGACGTACATGTAGGAGATGATCATGGACCAGAGTTTACACATGGTAAGACCAGACGTACATGTAGGAGATGACCATGGACCAGAGTTTACACATGGTAAGACCAGACGTACATGTAGGAAATGACCATGGACCAGAGTTTACACATGGTAAGACCAGACGTACATGTAAATAATCAATATGACTGTTTAGGTTCATGTTAAGTTGTTATGAACGTATTTGAACGACAGTAACATTAAAAATACCGTAAAATAGGTAAAGTACTTTCAGTAAAATACCAGTTATTGTTGCAGTTAAGCTTAAGTCTATCATTACTCTCTCCTACTCCTGGTCTCTCCTCCTCCTGGTCTCTCCTCCCTCCTCCTTGTCTCTCCTCCTCCTGGTCTCTCCTCCCTCCTCCTTGGCTCTCCTCCTCCTTGTCTCTCCTCATCCTGGTCTCTCCTCCCTCCTCCTTGTCTCTCCTCCTCCTGGTCCTCTCCTCCCTCCTCCTTGTCTCTCCTCCTCCTGGTCTCTCCTCCCTCCTCCTTGGCTCTCCTCCTCCTGGTCTCTCCTCCCTCCTCCTTGTCTCTCCTCCTCCTAGTCCCTCCTCCTTGTTTCTCCTCCTCCTGGTCTCTCCTCCCCCTCCTTGTCTCTCCTCCTCCTGGTCTCTCCTCCCTCCTCCTTGGCTCTCCTCCTCCTGGTCTCTCCTCCCTCCTCCTTGGCTCTCCTCCTCCTGGTCTCTCCTCCCTCCTCCTTGTCTCTCCTCCTCCTGGTCTCTCCTCCCTCCTCCTTGTCTCTCCTCCTCCTAGTCTCTCCTCCCTCCTCCTTGTTTCTCCTCCTCCTAGTCCCTCCTCCCTCCTCCTTGTCTCTCCTCCTCCTGGTCTCTCCTCCCTCCTCCTTGTCTCTCCTCCTCCTGGTCTCTCCTCCCTCCTCCTTGTCTCTCCTCCTCCTAGTCCCTCCTCCCTCCTCCTTGTCTCTCCTCCTCCTGGTCTCTCCTCCCTCCTCCTTGTCTCTCCTCCTCCTGGTCTCTCCTCCTCCTAGTCCCTCCTCCCTCCTCCTGGTCTCTCCTCCTCCTTGTCTCTCCTCCTCCTGGTCTCTCCTCCCTCCTCCTTGTCTCTCCTCCTCCTGGTCTCTCCTCCCTCCTCCTTGTCTCTCCTCCTCCTGGTCTCTCCTCCCTCCTCCTTGGCTCTCCTCCTCCTCCTACTCTCTCCTCCTCCTGGTCTCTCCTCCTCCTTGTCTCTCCTCCTCCTGGTCTCTCCTCCTCCTCCTGGTCTCTCCTCCCTCCTCCTTGTCTCTCCTCCTCCTGGTCTCTCCTCCCTCCTCCTTGTCTCTCCTCCTCCTGGTCTCTCCTCCCTCCTCCTTGGCTCTCCTCCTCCTCCTACTCTCTCCTAATAATAATAATAATGTAATGTAGTAATAATAATCATTACTCTCTCCTACTCCTGGTCTCTCCTCCTCCTGGTCTCTCCTCCCTCCTCCTTGTCTCTCCTCCTCCTGGTCTCTCCTCCCTCCTCCTTGGCTCTCCTCCTCCTTGTCTCTCCTCATCCTGGTCTCTCCTCCCTCCTCCTTGTCTCTCCTCCTCCTGGTCTCTCCTCCCTCCTCCTTGTCTCTCCTCCTCCTGGTCTCTCCTCCCTCCTCCTTGTCTCTCCTCCTCCTGGTCTCTCCTCCCTCCTCCTTGTCTCTCCTCCTCCTAGTCCCTCCTCCTTGTTCTCTCCTCCTCCTGGTCTCTCCTCCCTCCTCCTTGTCTCTCCTCCTCCTGGTCTCTCCTCCCTCCTCCTTGGCTCTCCTCCTCCTGGTCTCTCCTCCCTCCTCCTTGGCTCTCCTCCTCCTGGTCTCTCCTCCCTCCTCCTTGTCTCTCCTCCTCCTGGTCTCTCCTCCCTCCTCCTTGTCTCTCCTCCTCCTAGTCTCTCCTCCCTCCTCCTTGTCTCTCCTCCTCCTGGTCCCTCCTCCCTCCTCCTTGTCTCTCCTCCTCCTGGTCCTCTCCTCCCTCCTCCTTGGCTCTCCTCCTCCTGGTCTCTCCTCCCTCCTCCTTGTCTCTCCTCCTCCTGGTCTCTCCTCCCTCCTCCTTGTCTCTCCTCCTCCTAGTCTCTCCTCCTCCTCCTTGTCTCTCCTCCTCCTGTCTCTCCTCCTCCTCCTTGTTTCCCCTCCTCCCTCCTCCTTGTCTCTCCTCCTCCTAGTCTCTCCTCCCTCCTCCTTGTTTCTCCTCCTCCTAGTCCCTCCTCCCTCCTCCTTGTCTCTCCTCCTCCTGGTCTCTCCTCCCTCCTCCTCTCTCCTCCTCCTAGTCCCTCCTCCCTCCTCCTTGTCTCTCCTCCTCCTGGTCCTCCTCCTACTCTCTCCTCCTCTCCTACTCTTCCTCCTCCTGGTCTCTCCTCCTCCTGGTCCCTCCTCCCCTTCCTTGTCTCTCCTCCTCCTGGTCTCTCCTCCCTCCTCCTACTCTCTCCTCCTCCTGGTCTCTCCTCCCTCCTCCTTGTCTCTCCTCCTCCTGGTCTCTCCTCCCTCCTTGTTTCTCCTCCTCCTGGCGACACGGTGGCTGAGTGGATAGCACTCTCGCCTCTCAGCAAGAAGGTCCTGGGTTCGAATCTCGGTTGGACCAGGGCCTTTCTGAGTGGAGTTTGCATGTTCTCCCCGTGTCTGCGTAGGTTTCCTCCGGGTGCTCCGGTTTCCCCTACCACTAAAAATATGTACAATAGGTATGGCATGTGCCTCCTGTACTGGCCCCGCTCCCAAAAATAACAATTGTAAACCGCTTTGAGACTCCAATGTGCAGTGAAAAGGCGGTATATATAAATAAAGATTACTTACTCTCCTCCCTCCTCCTTGTCTCTCCTCCTCCTTGTCTCTCCTCATCCTTGTCTCTCCTCCTCCTGGTCTTGTCTCTCCTCCTCCTGGTCTCTCCTCCCTCCTCCTTGGCTCTCCTCCTCCTGGTCTCTCCTCCCTCCTCCTGGTCTCTCCTCCCTCCTCCTTGGCTCTCCTCCTCCTGGTCTCTCCTCCCTCCTCCTTGTCTCTCCTCCTCCTAGTCCCTCCTCCCTCCTCCTTGTTTCTCCTCCTCCTGGTCTCTCCTCCTCCTGGTCTCTCCTCCCTCCTCCTTGTCTCTCCTCCTCCTGGTCTTTCCTCCTCCTACTCTCTCCTCCTCCTAGTCCCTCCTCCCTCCTCCTTGTCTCTCCTCCTCCTGGTCTCTCCTCCCTCCTTGTTTCTCCTCCTCCTGGTCTCTCCTCCCTCCTCCTAGTCTCTCTTCCTCCTAGTCTCTCCTCCCTCCTCCTTGTCTCTCCTCCTCCTGGTCTCTCCTCCCTCCTCCTTGTCTCTCCTCCTCCTAGTCCCTCCTCCCTCCTCCTTGTTTCTCCTCCTCCTGGTCTCTCCTCCCTCCTCCTTGTCTCTCCTCCTCCTGGTCTCTCCTCCTAGTCCCTCCTCCCTCCTCCTGGTCTCTCCTCCTCCTTGTCTCTCCTCCTCCTGGTCTCCTCCTCCTCCTGGTCTCTCCTCCTCCCTCCTCCTTGTCTCTCCTCCTCCTGGTCTCTCCTCCCTCCTCCTTGGCTCTCCTCCTCCTCCTACTCTCTCCTCCTCCTGGTCTCTCCTCCTCCTTGTCTCTCCTCCTCCTGGTCTCTCCTCCTCCTCCTGGTCTCTCCTCCCTCCTCCTTGTCTCTCCTCCTCCTGGTCTCTCCTCCCTCCTCCTTGTCTCTCCTCCTCCTGGTCTCTCCTCCCTCCTCCTTGTCTCTCCTCCTCCTCCTACTCTCTCCTCCTCCTCCTTGTTGTCTCCTCCTAATATCATTCTCTCTCCTCCTCCTTGTCTCTCCTCCTCCTGGTCTCTCCTCCCTCCTCCTTGTCTCTCCTCCTCCTCCTGGTCTCTCCTCCTCCCTCCTCCTTGCTCTCCTCCTCCTGGTCTCTCCTCCTCCTCCTTGTCTCTCCTCCTCCTGGTCTCTCCTCCTCCTGGTCCCTCCTCCCCTCCTTGTCTCTCCTCCTCCTGGTCTCTCCTCCCTCCTCCTACTCTCTCCTCCTCCTGGTCTCTCCTCCCTCCTCCTTGTCTCTCCTCCTCCTGGTCTCTCCTCCCTCCTTCTACTCTCTCCTCCTCCTGGTCTCTCTCCTCCCTCCTCCTTGTCTCTCCTCCTCCTGGTTCTCTCTCCTCCCTCCTCCTTGGCTCTCCTCCTCCTTGCTCTCCTCTCCTCTCTCCTCCTCCTCCTTGTCTCTCCTCAATCCTGGTATCTCCTCCCTCCTCCTTGTCTCTCCTCCTCCTGGTCTCTCCTCCCTCCTCCTTGTCTCTCCTCCTCCTGGTCTCTCCTCCCTCCTCCTTGGCTCTCCTCCTCCTGGTCTCTCCTCCCTCCTCCTTGTCTCTCCTCCTCCTGTCTCTCCTCCTCCTCCTTGTCTCTCCTCCTCCTGGTCTCTCCTCCCTCCTCCTTGGCTCTCCTCCTCCTGGTCTCTCTCCTCCCTCCTCCTTGTCTCTCCTCCTCCTAGTCCCTCCTCCCTCCTCCTTGTTGTCTCCTCCTCCTTGTCTCTCCTCCTCCTGGTCTCTCCTCCCTCCTCCTTGTCTCTCCTCCTCCTGGTCTCTCCTCCTCCTCCTTGCTCTCCTCCTCCTGGTCTCTCCTCCCTCCTCCTTGTCTCTCCTCCTCCTGGTCTCTCCTCCTCCTCCTTGTTCTCTCCTCCTCCTGGTCCTCCTCCCTCCTCCTTGTTCTCTCCTCCTCCTGGTCCTCCTCCTCCTCCTTGTCTCTCCTCCTCCTGGTCTCTCCTCCCTCCTCCTTGTCTCTCCTCCTCCTGGTCTCTCCTCCCTCCTCCTTGTCTCTCCTCCTCCTAGTCCCTCCTCCCTCCTCCTTGTTTCTCCTCCTCCTGGTCTCTCCTCCCTCCTCCTTGTCTCTCCTCCTCCTGGTCTCTCCTCCTCCTAGTCCCTCCTCCCTCCTCCTGGTCTCTCCTCCTCCTTGTCTCTCCTCCTCCTGGTCTCTCCTCCCTCCTCCTTGTCTCTCCTCCTCCTGGTCTCTCCTCCCTCCTCCTTGTCTCTCCTCCTCCTGGTCTCTCCTCCCTCCTCCTTGGCTCTCCTCCTCCTCCTACTCTCTCCTCCTCCTGGTCTCTCCTCCTCCTTGTCTCTCCTCCTCCTGGTCTCTCCTCCTCCTCCTGGTCTCTCCTCCCTCCTCCTTGTCTCTCCTCCTCCTGGTCTCTCCTCCCTCCTCCTTGTCTCTCCTCCTCCTGGTCTCTCCTCCCTCCTCCTTGGCTCTCCTCCTCCTCCTACTCTCTCCTAATAATAATAATAATGTAATGTAGTAATAATAATCATTACTCTCTCCTACTCCTGGTCTCTCCTCCTCCTGGTCTCTCCTCCCTCCTCCTTGTCTCTCCTCCTCCTGGTCTCTCCTCCCTCCTCCTTGGCTCTCCTCCTCCTTGTCTCTCCTCCTCCTGGTCTCTCCTCCTCCTCCTACTCTCTCCTCCTCCTGGTCTCTCCTCCTCCTGGTCCCTCCTCCCCTTCCTTGTCTCTCCTCCTCCTGGTCTCTCCTCCCTCCTCCTACTCTCTCCTCCTCCTGGTCTCTCCTCCCTCCTCCTTGTCTCTCCTCCTCCTAGTCCCTCCTCCTCCTCCTTGTCTCTCCTCCTCCATGGTCTCTCCTCCCTCCTCCTTGGCTCTCCTCCTCCTTGTCTCTCCTCCCCCCTCCTTGTTTCTCCTCCTCCTGGTCTCTCCTCCCTCCTCCTTGTCTCTCCTCCTCCTGGTCTCTCCTCCCTCCTGGTCTCTCCTCCCTCCTCCTTGGCTCTCCTCCTCCTGGTCTCTCCTCCCTCCTCCTTGTCTCTCCTCCTCCTGGTCTCTCCTCCCTCCTCCTTGTCTCTCCTCCTCCTAGTCTCTCCTCCCTCCTCCTTGTTTCTCCTCCTCCTAGTCCCTCCTCCCTCCTCCTTGTCTCTCCTCCTCCTGGTCTCTCCTCCCTCCTCCTTGGCTCTCCTCCTCCTGGTCTCTCCTCCCTCCTCCTTGGCTCTCCTCCTCCTGGTCTCTCCTCCCTCCTCCTTGTCTCTCCTCCTCCTGGTCTCTCCTCCTCCCTCCTCCTTGTCTCTCCTCCTCCTAGTCTCTCCTCCCTCCTCCTTGTTTCTCCTCCTCCTAGTCCCTCCTCCCTCCTCCTTGTCTCTCCTCCTCCTAGTCTCTCCTCCAGCCAATCATGGAGCAGCACAACAGAGGAAATCAGGTGTCAGGCTAGAAAAAGGTGCAAGTGTGTGGTTCATTAGGCTGCAGCAAATCACGGAGGAGCACACTGAAGCGCACGCTTACAAACCACTGGTAAGTGCTGACTACAAGTCATGACTTCAAATTGTTATATAGAATGATTACAAATTATTTGTTGTTTGTGCAGCTTAGTCAAGAGTCCCTAATTGATGAAGTCGACTCAGATTCTGACGATTTAACTGTCAAGAAGAAACCTGTAAAAAAGTATGGAAAAAGAAAAATCAAAAACACTTTTCTTCAAGACTCGGAAAGTGACGAACCAAAGGCAAATAAGATTGTTATCATGCAGCTGCAAAAGAAGAAAAATGGGGGGCGAGTTTACAGCAAGAGACACTTCTGCTCTACTGTTCAATGTCCTGCCACAAAATGTCCCGTCATTTGACTAGAAAACATGGAAATGAAAGTGACGTAGCCAGAGCATTGGCTCTACCTGTGAAATCTAAAGCACGTAAACTTCAGTTTGATTTGATCAGGAATAGTGGAAACCGTGAGCACAATTTTGAGGTTTTAAAGGCCGGCATTGGAACTTTAGTCCCAGCTAAACAGCCAAATTCCCCAGTTAAATCCAGTGAGTTTTTGCACTGTATAGACTGTGGGGCATTGCTTAAGCGAAAGTCGCTGTGGAGGCATGTGGCCAGGTGCCGGCTTTCACAGAAAGATGCCAGGCTAAACCGGCTAAACCAGGTAGAAGTAGGGTCCAGTCCCTCTGCTCCCTAGCCCAGCCTGTACCGGAGGGCATCAGCAAAAAGCTGTGGTCTTTAATTTCGGCAATGCATCAGGATGAGGTCACGGGTGTTGTCAAAGCAGAAAAGGGGATTCTGAGACTCGGAGAGCACCTGTACTTAAAACACGGGCATGATAAGACTAAGCATGATTACATTAGGCAGAAAATGAGAGAAGTCGGTAGGTTAATTAACTAAGCTAATAAGTGAGCCAACGTCTAAGCATTGGTCTAAACTGGCAGTTTTGACTCTTTGTGAGGTCATTATTTTCAATCGAAGAAGGGAAGGTGAGGTTTCAAAGATGCCACTGACAGCGTTTACCTTAAGAAGTAAGACTGGGATCCATTCTGACATTGCTCTGGGACTGTCCCAACTTGAGAAAAAGCTGTGTCAGCATTTTCAACGCATTGAAATTAAAGGGAAAAGAAGTGGGAAAGTGCCGGTTCTTTTGACTCCTGAAATGATTGCTTGGATGGAGGTGCTGGTGGAGAACAGAAGGGCCTGTTCCATCTCTGACCATAACCCATACTTCTTTTCCCGCCCGGGCGCAGACACCCACATCAGGGGATCAGACTCCCTACGCCAGGTAGCCAAAGAATGTGGTGCGGTGCATCCAGAGATGCTATCCTCAACCAAACTTAGAAAGCACATAGCTACTATGTCTACAGTTCTCAATATGAAAGAGAATGAGATGGACATACTTGCCAACTTCCTCGGCCATGACATTCGCATCCACAGGCAATATTACAGACTACCAGAGGGGACACTGGAGCTGGCCAAAATCAGCAAAGTGTTGATGGCCATGGAGCAGGGAAGAGTGACGGAATTCAAAGGAACGGGCGGCACGGTGGCTGAGTGGATAGCACTCTCGCCTCTCAGCAAGAAGGTTCTGGGTTCGAATCGCGGCCGGACCAGGGCCTTTCTGAGTGGAGTTTGCATGTTCTCCCCGTGTCTGCGTAGGTTTCCTCCGGGTGCTCCGGTTTCCCCTACCACTAAAAATATGTACAATAGGTCTGGCATGCGCCTCCTGTACTGGCCCCTCCCATCTCTGTGTGGAGTGAGAGACAAATGCCCAAAAAATAACAATTGTAAACCGCTTTGTGACTCTGGTCTGTGAAAGGCGGTATATAAATAAAGCTTACTTACTTACTTGAAAGAGCCTCGACCAGATACAAATTGAGCCTGAAGGTAATTCTTGATATTATTAAAATATGTATGATTTTTTTCCCCTAAAGGCCACTTGTATTTTTATTTTCTGTGCGACAGGGAGAGCAGTAGAGATCCTCTCACAAACGGACGGGCTAAAAGAAACTTCAAGCGGAGAACCTTCAACCATTCATCCAGATGCACCCCATGGTAGTGGCAGTGCCCCTTCTGGTAAGTGTACCAGGTGGGGGATTACAGCCAGGCTGCTTGGTCCTCACCCTGGGAGTGTATATTGCTAATATATTTTTATTTCTCTCCCTAGAACGTGTAAGAAAGCCATGGTCTGCATCTGAGGTGAAGGCTGTGGAGAAGACCATGACACCTTTCATACAGACTGGAAAGGTCCCTGGGAAGTCTCACTGCCTGGCCTGCATTAATGCCTCACCAGATGACCTTAGACATCGGACATGGAGTGGCATTAAATTCTATGTCAAAAATAGAATCACTGCAATTCGAAAACAAAATCTAAAATAAAAGTCCTTTAAAATAGTTGTTTGGTTTCTATTGACTGTTTTGTATTACTTAAAGTAGTCCCAGTAAAAAAAGATTATGTCTATGGGTCCCATTCTGAACGGCCCTGTCAAAGGGACCCACCAGGTAACAAAAACGTGTATGTGTGTGTGTTGTGCATCAATGCGTGCGTGTATGTGTGTGTGTGTTGTGCATTCATGCGTACGTGTGTGTGTGTGTATGTGTCTGAAAGTGTATATATTAGCATGTGTGTATGTGTGTGTGTGTGTGTGCGTCCATAGAATACAATACTCTTTATTTAAACTAAGCAGGTATAAATAAACATGAGTGTATGAATGTGTGTGAATGTGTGTGTGTGTGTACCTGTGTATGTATGTGTGTATATACAGTACATGTGTGTGTGTGTGTGTGTGTATATATATATATACAAAGCAGCTAAATATCAGTTCAGGAAAGAACTGAAAGCAGCCAAGTCCCGGCACAGAGAACGACTACAGGAGCAGTTTGGTAACAACGATACTGCTTCTGTCTGGAGGGGCCTACGGGAGATCACCAACTACAAACCCAAAGCCCCCCCCTGTGCTGATGACCACAAGCTAGCTGACGATCTGAACTTATTTTTCAGTCGCTTTGATGCTGCCCCTGACACCTCTCCCTCCCCCACCCCCCACTACTCTAACGACCCACCCATCAGCCCTGCCCCCAGCCTAACAATAGCCGCTAAAGAGATTAAACAACTCTTCCTGAGGCTGCACCCCCGCAAAGCTCCTGGCCCGGACCACGTGTCTCCGGCCACTCTGAGACACTGCGCCAGTGAGCTTACTCCTGTGTTCACTGACATTTTCAACTCCTCTCTGCAGTCCTGCCATGTCCCGGCCTGCTTCAAATCCTCCATCATTGTCCCCGTCCCGAAGAAGCCCAGGATCACAGGACTCAATGACTACAGACCTGTAGCACTTACGTCTGTCGTCATGAAGTCATTTGAACGCCTGGTTCTCTCCCATCTCAAGTCCCTCACCTCCCCCCTCCTGGACCCCCTGCAGTTCGCCTACAGAGCCAACAGATCTGTAGACGACGCCATTAACCTGGCCCCCTCCACCACATCCTACAGCACCTGGACTCCCCGGGGACCTACGCCAGGGTCCTGTTCGTGGACTTCAGCTCTGCCTTCAACACAATCCTGCCATCCCTGCTCCAGGACAAGCTCTCCCAGCTCAACGTGCCCGATTCCACCTGCAGGTGGATCACTGACTTCCTGACGGACAGGAAGCAGCGAGTGCGTCTGGGGAAGAATGTCTCGGACTCTCGGATTATAAATACAGGAGCCCCACAGGGCTGTGTTCTTTCTCCCCTGCTCTTCTCCCTGTACACCAACCACTGCACCTCCAGCCACGACTCCGTGAAGCTGATCAAGTTCGCGGACGACACCACCCTCATTGGACTCATCTCCAACAACGATGAGTCCGCCTACAGGAGGGAGGTGGACCGGCTGGTGTCCTGGTGCAGTGGTAACAACCTGGAGCTGAACGCCCAGAAGACAGTGGAGATGATTGTGGACTTCAGGAAGAGCACTGTCCCCCCGCCCCCACCCTCCGTGATGGACTCCCCCATCACCTCTGTGGAGTCCTTCCGTTTCCTGGGCACCACCATCACCCAGGACCTCAAGTGGGAGCCGACCATCAGCTCCCTCATCAAGAAGGCCCAGCAGAGGATGTACTTCCTGCGGCAGCTCAGGAAAGCCAAGCTGCCTGCACAGATGTTGGTGCAGTTCTACACGGCCATCATCGAGTCCATCCTCACCTCCTCCATCACCGTGTGGTTCGCTGGAGCCACAGTCAGGGACAAACAGAGACTACAGCGCATTGTGCGCTCTGCAGAGGAAGTGATCGGCCGCAGCCTTCCATCGCTGCAGGACCTGTACGTCGCCCGAGCTCGAGGCCGGGCTGGTCGTATCACAGCCGACCCCTCTCACCCTGCACATGGACTATTCCAACCACTCCCCTCAGGCAGGAGGCTGCGGTCCATCAGGACTAGAACCTCCCGCCACAAGAACAGTTTCTTCCCCTCTGCTGTTGGACTCTTGAACACTTCTTAACCTGTCCCCCCGCCCTTTATAAAGTCACTTTACTGCCCATCATACGTCACTTTACTTCACTGTACTGCTGTCACCTTACATTGTGTGCACCATGTGCACTTGCATATTGTAAATAGTAACTGTAACTCTATTTTAAATTTAAATTTATTCTTTAGAAGTGTTTTTTATTCTTATTTTTATTATCTCTTTCTGACTGTTGCACTGAGCCAAAGCAATTTCCAAGTCTGTGACCTCCCGTTACTTACGTTGGCAATAAAAATGATTCTGATTCTGATTCTGATTCTGATTCTGATATATACGTGTGTGTGTATATAGACGTGTGTGTGTTTGTGTGTGTATATGCTGTACGTGTGTGTGTATATATACGTGTGTGTGTATCAATCCATACCACATTATTTTCTACGATCACTTAAAACACAGATAAAAACTACGGTGAATGCGGCGCTGCTGAAGACTGTGCCAAAATTCCTCCTTTCTGCCGGTCCCCAGAGTGATGTCATCAGAGCGAGACGCCTGCTCCACTTGCTCCAAAATGTAAATATCTTTCTGTCACATTGAGTTGTATATAAAACAGGATTATCTTACTTTGCCAAACTAAAGTCTTTCCTTGTGGCCAATCTACAATTCAAATTCTTTAATGTGCAGAACCGTAATTAAAATGCAAAGAGCTCGTTTATGCAAATGAGGCGGAAAAACAGGAACGTTAGAGTTGACTATTTTTAACATTTCCATAAGATCTCATTTCACCATCACCTTCTTCAGCAAAATATAACCACATACGTCACTTTATTATGCTAAAGTTAGAGATTTTAAACTAGCTTCTTTATTATGCTAAAGTTAGAGATTTTAAACTAGCTTCTTTATTATGCTAAAGTTAGAGATTTTAAACTAGCTTCTTTATTATGCTAAAGTTAGAGATTTTAAACTAGCTTCTTTATTATGCTAAAGCTAGAGATTTTAAACTAGCTTCTTTATTATGCTAAAGCTAGAGATTTTAAACTAGCTTCTTTATTATGCTAAAGTTAGAGATTTTAAACTAGCTTCTTTATTATGCTAAAGTTAGAGATTTTAAACTAGCTTCTTTATTATGCTAAAGCTAGAGATTTTAAACTAGCTTCTTCATTATGCTAAAGTTAGAGATTTTATACTAGCTTCTTTATTATGCTAAAGTTAGAGATTTTAAACTAGCTTCTTTATTATGCTAAAGTTAGAGATTTTAAACTAGCTTCTTTATTATGCTAAAGTTAGAGATTTTAAACTAGCTTCTTTATTATGCTAAAGTTAGAGATTTTAAACTAGCTTCTTTATTATGCTAAAGTTATGCCGCGTTCAGACCAAACGCGATTTGGGCGGCGAGAGCGTCAGGATTACATTGACAATACATGGGGGACGCGCTTCAGGGAGCGGCGAGCGATCAAGCGGCGCGGCACGACCGGCACGCGCGGCGAGTCTTCAAGCGTTTTGAGCGATGTGAGCGGTGGACGCGATGTGAGCGGCCGACGCTGGAGTTGAACATTGTTGAACTTTTTCGCTCAGATCGCGAGCGTCGACCAATCAGGAGCTTTCTCCAACAGAGACCAAGTGACCAAACACTCCCAAACATGCAGAGGCACATGTTCATTGTTTTTGTTTTTTATTGACCAGATCAAAGAACGCCTCGTAAGCTTGTCTCTCGTGTGTTCCTCCGAACCACACAATCAAGTAAACACAACGCAGAGCGGAGAAAATCAGACCCGTTACACTGGTAATAACGGGTCTGATTTTCTCCGCTCTGCGTTGTGTTTACTTGATTGTGTGGTTCGGAGGAACACACGAGAGACAAGCTTACGAGGCGTTCTTTTATCTGGTCAATAAAAAACAAAAACAATGAACATGTGCCTCTGCATCACTCACAGCCCAAACTCTTCCCTGACACGGGTTTTCAAAGGTCACTTGGTCCTTTGGTGACCAAGTGACCAAACACTCGGCCGCGCGTGCCGCGCGGCAGAGTGTTTGGTCCAGCGTCTGGAGTCAAAAAGCACAAGCATTGCGGCACGCGCGGCACGGGCGATTTCGCCGCCCAAATCGCGTTTGGTCTGAACGCAGCATTAGAGATTTTAAACTAGCTTCTTTATTATGCTAAAGTTAGAGATTTTAAACTAGCTTCTTTATTATGCTAAAGTTAGAGATTTTAAACTAGCTTCTTTATTATGCTAAAGTTAGAGATTTTAAACTAGCTTCTTTATTATGCTAAAGCTAGAGATTTTAAACTAGCTTCTTTATTATGCTAAAGTTAGAGATTTTATACTAGCTTCTTTATTATGCTAAAGTTAGAGATTTTAAACTAGCTTCTTTATTATGCTAAAGTTAGAGATTTTAAACTAGCTTCTTTATTATGCTAAAGCTAGAGATTTTAAACTAGCTTCTTTATTATGCTAAAGTTAGAGATTTTAAACTAGCTTCTTTATTATGCTAAAGTTAGAGATTTTAAACTAGCTTCTTTATTATGCTAAAGTTAGAGATTTTAAACTAGCTTCTTTATTATGCTAAAGCTAGAGATTTTAAACTAGCTTCTTTATTATGCTAAAGCTAGAGATTTTATACTAGCTTCTTTATTATGCTAAAGTTAGAGATTTTAAACTAGCTTCTTTATTATGCTAAAGTTAGAGATTTTAAACTAGCTTCTTTATTATGCTAAAGTTAGAGATTTTATACTAGCTTCTTTATTATGCTAAAGTTAGAGATTTTAAACTAGCTTCTTTATTATGCTAAAGCTAGAGATTTTAAACTAGCTTCTTTATTATGCTAAAGTTAGAGATTTTATACTAGCTTCTTTATTATGCTAAAGTTAGAGATTTTAAACTAGCTTCTTTATTATGCTAAAGTTAGAGATTTTAAACTAGCTTCTTTATTATGCTAAAGCTAGAGATTTTAAACTAGCTTCTTTATTATGCTAAAGTTAGAGATTTTAAACTAGCTTCTTTATTATGCTAAAGTTAGAGATTTTAAACTAGCTTCTTTATTATGCTAAAGTTAGAGATTTTAAACTAGCTTCTTTATTTATGCTAAAGCTAGAGATTTTAAACTAGCTTCTTTATTATGCTAAAGCTAGAGATTTTATACTAGCTTCTTTATTATGCTAAAGTTAGAGATTTTAAACTAGCTTCTTTATTATGCTAAAGTTAGATATTTTAAACTAGCTTCTTTATTATGCTAAAGTTAGAGATTTTAAACTAGCTTCTTTATTATGCTAAAGTTAGAGATTTTATACTAGCTTCTTTATTATGCTAAAGTTAGATATTTTAAACTAGCTTCTTTATTATGCTAAAGCTAGAGATTTTAAACTAGCTTCTTTATTATGCTAAAGTTAGAGATTTTAAACTAGCTTCTTTATTATGCTAAAGTTAGAGATTTTAAACTAGCTTCTTTATTTTGCTAAAGCTAGAGATTTTAAACTAGCTTCTTTATTATGCTAAAGTTAGAGATTTTAAACTAGCTTCTTTATTATGCTAAAGTTAGAAATGTTTTACTAGCTTTAGGGTTACAGTAGCTCAGTTGTAGACCGTTGGCCTCTGAGCCTGCAGGTCGTGAGTCCACCACAAGACTTTCTCCACCGACTCCCACTGATGTCTGCTGTTGTTGTGTCCTTGGGCAAGACCTCTGGGAACAGCAGGTGCCACAGTGGGGCGGCTGTAAAGTGCCAAACTGTGGTTGTGTCCTTAGGCAAGACACTTCCCCCACATTAGAATGAGTCTGGTGTGTGTGTGAATGGTTGGTGGTGGTGGGAGGGGCCGATGGCACAGACTGGTTGCTTCGCTTCTGTCAGTGTGCCCCAGGGCAGCTGTGGCTACTAGGGGTGGGAACCTAAGGGTACCTTACGATACGATACGATACGCGATACAAAGCTCACGAAAACAATAATTATCACGATATGACGATTATCGATATATTGGTCAGCAATGCCAATATACAGTATGGCATACATAAAATAGAAAAATGTGAAAGTGAAAAAATACACTTTATTTCATGATAAATGGAATGGAGATATGTAATTTAGCCATATATTAAGTATTGTACTAATTATTAAAAAAATAAATACATAAAAATAAAAAAAAATAAAAATTGATACTTGCAAAATCGATCGCGGGAGAAAGTATTGCTTCTCGTGACTGCAGTAGTTTACCACCACCGTATATGGAGTGAATCATGATCGTCTTTGAGTGAACCAAGCGCTGTATAAACGATGCATTTTTGTTGTTGTCGTTGTTATGCTAACGTGTGCTCCTCATTCTTACCGTTCTGTAACTGGAGACTGCAACACTGAAATGTCCTCACTGTCGGATTCATAAGAAATCTCTAAATCTTGATCTTTTTAACAAACGTAGAAGTCTCTGACGATGGCGGAGACGAACCCTCAGAACGTTTTCTACCGTCGCTGCTCTGAGCGAGATTCTAAACCTGTGACAAAACCGCACACGTGAACATATATATTTATTTATATATATCTTTCCTGCCTTTTCAGTCTAATGTATATGCATGAGGACGGCACATCTGTATGCATGAGCCGCTAAACCCAGCCCCCCATGAATAAATGCATAACACAATACACTAAATAGTGGCGTAAATGTCAGCGGCGGCGTGATTGGGACGAGCCCGAGGATCTTTGTCGCCGGCGCCGGGTTAAAGTTGCTGATCCATTGTTGATGATTTGCTTTTTCAAATAGACACTTAACTGTACAGGTGACTCTCGTGAAATCAGGACGTGGATCCAGCGGTGCTTCAGTCACGCAGCTCAGGAAAGGATTAATGCTCATTACAACAAAGGGAGATTTAGAAAGACTCTATTTGTTGAAATGTTGATTATTATTATGGCTCAGAGATCGTTAAAACCCTGATAAAATGGCAGAGAATTTGAATATTTCAGATTCAGTTTATTTGCCATTTGCAGTAAAAACACCACATTGGAATACATTAGCAAAAAGTCTCCAGTGTGCACAGACAAATACAGACATAAAACAACATTAAAAGACAGAAATAAAACAAATAAAACAGTAAACAAATGTCACTGTGAAATCGATCGACTAAAACAGTTTCAAAACAAGTGCAAATCATTAAAGTGCTCTGTTCACACTGATAACAGCTTGTGGATAAAAACTGTTAGCGTAACGAGATGTCCTGCATCTCAGAGAGCGATATCTTCGGCCAGAGGGAAGAAGCTGGAACATGGCTTTCCCAGGGTGGCCAGAAGAGTCAGTCATTTTGAGAATGTGTTGTAAGAAGTAATCACTGACATGTAAACACACAAAGGCTTTTTGTTTTTAGCCCCTGGAGACAAATAATCAAATTTAATGTATTTTGTACAGGCCTAAATCAGGGGTTTCAAAATTATTTTGGTTGAAGGCCGAAAACATAAATTCCTGTTACACATTCTCGTTGCAGTCTGACAGCAGCAGGAAGGAAAGACCTGCGAAACCTCTCCTTCACACATTGAGGGTGAATTAGTCTGTCACTGAAGCTGCTCTCCAGAGCAGAGAGAGTGTCCTGCAGGGGGTGACAGTCATGGTCCAGCATAGATGTTAGTTTGCTCAGGACCCTCCTGTCCCCCACCTGCTGCACTGTGTCCAAGGAACAGCCCAGGACTGAGCTGGACTTCCGGATGACCTTGTCCAGCTTCTTCCTTCTTCCAGCTCTTGCAGACCCAAAAATGTGTCTAGCTTTTCTCATTTGAAAGATAAGGAGCTAAGGAACACGTAGATACCAGATGTTCGGGTGAAAATCAAAGCTAAAAGTCCGTTAAAAGTGAAAAAGCAACATCTGTGCTCGTTTTTTTCGTTTTTTTTTTGCTAAAGATAAATGCACATTTTTGGATTATTTCTGCAGAATGGATTTTACTTTGGGAAATACAAGTGGATATAATTTTCCTTTGGACTGTTCCAGAAAGAATGATGTATTGCAAGCTGGGAGGAGAGCTGATTTATTTGTACAGCACAAGCCCAAAGGTAAAAAACTATTTCGGAATTGATTTATTTTGTGCCCACATTATGTGTTATATCTTTTGAATGCAAAGTCTGATGTAGTTTACACTTGTATATAAATGTAGATAAGAAAATAAGCTTTAAAAATATACAGCTTTTGGGGTTTGGTGTTCAAAATACATCTGCTATTGCCAGCAGAACATTTAAAAACATAAAAACGGCACGCCGGCGCGCCGGTGGGTGTTAAGAGGCTAGGGCAGGTCAGGGGCCGAAAAAATAAATAATAATCTTTTACATGTTTTTGTAATATGAAGGTATCTAAATAAATGACTCGTTTCACATTAGTTGGATTGGATATTATTTTCTGATTAGAATGAGTTCAGTTTCTGTGACTGAACCAAAACTGGACCAAATATTGAAGGTATACAGTGTATTAGTAAGATTATCTACTTCTGGGTGAATCATCAAAACTATTGCTCCTCCCAACTGTCAATCATTCTGGTGATTTCTGCTCGTCCAATAAGACCAGAGAGTTTTGTTCAAAAAGTGGAGAGGGCGGTACTTTCTGAGAAAATTGAGAAATCCTGCTTTACATCTTTAAGAATTGTACTTGAAGACTGAAATAAAATGTTATGGTTGTTTTCTTAGTAATGAATAAGGTGCCATTGTCGCCGATGACCATTAATGCTGCTGTTTAATATAACTTAAAATCATCTCAAGGGCCACTGGAAATGTTCTCGCGGCCGGATCTGGCGCCCGGGCCTCGACTTTGACACCTGTGCCCTAAATGATTGAGGCTTTTGTGTGGTATTAGTTTTAAATATAATTGGAGATTATGAATAAATACTTTCATGTTCATAACCTCAGGAGATTATCAAGGCTTGGCTGTTCTCATTGTACAGTCTGACAGCAGCAGGAAGGACGGACTGCAGAACCTCCATCCCACATCCATTGTGCACCATGTGTGAAACAAGGAAAGTCTTGCTGCTAAAGAATCACATCTAAAGTCTAAAGCCTAGTGTATACTCGCGTGGTGCGGAGCTGGAGGTG